AGCCCCAGGAAATCATCGACGTCCATTCGAAAACCAAAGCCATCGGAGAACTTCAGTCGATAAGCTTCGACCTCCATGGAATGAGTCCAGATGAGCTTAGCAGCAATCCTCCACAGCTCAACATGGCAGTTTTCCTCACCGTCTTTCCGAGGAACACGCGCGTTGAGCGCAACCTGAAACGCAAAAATCAACAAGAGTGTACTATCCTGGAAAGCGATCTTTCAACATTATTATATAATTATATAAAGTTATATAATATACATATATAAGTAAAGATGCACCCGGGTTCTTTTAGGTCCATCCCGAATCTCATGTGAATCAATTTGGATGATTCCGGTTGATAGACGCTGTGCGAGTTGATTTGGGTGAGCACACAGCATAGCGAATGGCGGGTGGGTTCATGCAAGGCGAAAACAAGCTTTTGCATGGACTCTAACCACAGGTTTGATCCACCGGCAAATCCATCAACCATGTCAGATCGGTGTTGTTTGTGGTTTTCTCAAACTTGAAGTTGGCTTGAAATCAACATGTTTATATGTATATGTCTATCATTCCCTATCCAACCACGGCCAGCTGCACTCCTGTACAAGCCCCAAATAGCTCTCCCAAATGGCTGGGCTGTGAGTTAAACGCAAGACCGCAGTTGACCTCCTAAATGGATGAGTGAACTCAGGGAAGTCAACTGAACTCCGGTTGAACTGAGTGGCGGACCCCATGTGTACCAAGCCTCCGGATCTTTCCACCAAAAGCATCTCTTCTTTTCGACCGCAAAGAAGAAAGGCATTTCGACCAGCAAGTCTTGCGCACTCAGCCCCCACCCCGACGCGTGCGCGTGCGAAGCTCGGATCGAGGGGGACCTTGAAGGCTCGCAGTTGGTTGGTGAACTCCCGGACGTGCACGTAAGGGACCTCCACACCTTGAGGCATCGAGGTTTCGGTGACAGACCTCGATGCATCCAGCTGGAGCCCAGGGGTTGTCCCAAACTGGGGCTCCTGGCCTACCTCCCTGAGGTTTGGTACTTCAGGCGACTGAGAATTCACCAGGAACCTTCTGAGATCTTCTGAGGATGTGGTGAACAGCATTCCTGTTTCTCCAATCCGCAAAAAACAGGGTGTTAATCATGTCGCACGGGTCCATGTCTGCATGTCCAGTGGCATTTGGATTGATGTCCTTCAACGCAAACCTCCCGGAACAATCGCTGGATGACCCATGTCGTATCGGATGGCAGGGACGCTCATGTTGTAGGTATATAATAGAGAATCACTGAGGTGCTTCTTATATATATAGAGAGAGAGAGAGAGCGAATCTCGAAGCAGTTACAGTGTTTTTCCCTCGGAAACATGGACAAAGCTTCTCTTTGCATCAAAACACGTATTAAACCTGCAAAGTGGGCATACAGAATGCAAACTGTCTCACGTCCAAAACAAAGCCAGGCCACAAATGGCCACAACTTTTGAACAATTAACATCAATTAACTATTTACAAAGGTGAACGCTGCCTGAACGTGTCAGTGTCCTCTCCTTCTGCTTATGAACTCCCGTCTCTCAAACGAATTCAAAGCAGTGCTGTTTGCAACGTAACTAATCATAGTACCTTCAAAAAGGGTAGTCTATCCATGTCTATCCAACAAATCTCGCCCACTTCCCTTCCACGTCTAATCGAACATTTTGTCAAGACATGTCGAAACAGTGGTCTCTGTCCGGCATGAGTTGAAGGTCTTGAAGGCAGCCCCTGACTCCTCCTGCCCCTTGTAAGCTGCATGAACACAATTCTTCGAAAGCGGTGTGGACCACGCTGCGCTCCGCATGCACCCACGGGCGCCCGAGATCGGAGGGCCCCCAGGCTCTTGTTGCCACGCCGGACCGCCGCCACCTCGTGGCACCCGCGGTGGGCGAAGTTTATCATGCAGCTTATCCATGTTGGAGAATCATGGCTGGTCAACAAATTCAAGGTCCAAACCCAACAGACCCCCTGTGATTGGCAATTCTGCTTGTTTCTTAAATAGAGTGACTAGGGCTACACCGCTACACTCCCACTCTCCAAGCAACACCACCATCTGAGGAGTGGACCGACCGGAGAAGATCGGAGCAGTCCACCGAAGAAGGGGTCTCGGTCCCATGGGATTCCTATGTCGAAACCACTCCCCCGGCAGCTTTGGAGGTTGGAGCAGATCAAATATCCATTGCTCCAACATTCCATTCCAAATATCTCCTGCAAACGTCCTCATGGACCCTGAAAATGACCCCGTGGAAGACCATTTTCCTCTACAGACCCAGTGGTTTGAGAGTGCATGGACAGCTCTTCATCCGTCCCAACCGTTACAGAAGGATCACCAGCTGTGCTCAGTCGCCCGGGTCGCACTGGAAAGCCGCACCGGGACTCCCGGGCCACAAAGGGCTGCGAATCCAGCCCGTGCCTGAGCCCGAGCCGGCGAGCCGAGCGGTGACTCCACTTCTGCACCGCGCTGGGACCGTGGGAATGGACACAAACATGAACGATTCCAATCAACTCCATGAGGTGCTTGTCGGTCTACTCCACGATGGTTTTGTGGCTGATGCTTTCAGTTCGAGAAGTGTTGTACTACATCAGCTGGTTGAAATCGCAATTGGACACATCCAAATGCTTTGATAACATCCTGAACTGTTTGGGACTCAAGGATGGATGCAGTGGCTTTGTGGTGTTGAAGAGTTATACATACATGTAAAGATTGTTCATCAATAATTATGCCCGGCATGTACGGTGGTTCAGTCCAAACACAATTCTCCGAATTCTCTGGAGGAAGCTTCAGAGGTGCTTGTACAATTGGAACATACTAGTAGATGCGATGAACAATGGATGTAAGTGACATTCTTCAGGCCCTTTATCCACATCATTAAATTTGTGTTGTTCAATAGTCTTTGCCGTTTTCAATAGCGACGGTTCATTAATTAAAATAAACACGAGCGGAGCAAGCAGACCCCAAGCCGGTGGCCAGGTATTCAGTCCCCAGCACAGTGAACAAGCAAACAGGTTTGAGGGTTGATCCTTGGTAAGCAACAAACACACATTGAAGACATATTCTTGCTAAGAAACCTGGACACGCCATAGATCAACCAACTACAGTCACTACAGTTATTGAATGTTTTGTTTTTGCCAACATGTGGCAACTGCTCGCCCACCACCTCTCTTATGCCTATGGTTCTCCCTGAGTGAACCAAAAGTTGCAAAAGAAGGGCCCCCAGCGCGGTCAGAAACGTGTTCGCTGCGTCCTCCGTTCACTCCCGATTGAGTCTCCAAGCGACGAAGAAATCCCGACAGGTCCAGTCTGACAGAGTAAAACCTTCAGTAAGATGAGGTCTTTGACCTGTAGGGTATATATATACACACATATATAGAGAGGAACGTTGCATTTACCCTGTATCATTGTGTTGACCTGAACTGACCATGACCTAAATCAATTTGATAGGTCAAGGCCCGGTTAATCCAACCATGGTGACATTGGAAGATGGTGTTGACCCTGACCTCGTCTTTCCATCCGGTGATCTTTTCTCCACGAACCCCGGTGGTTTTGTACCTGGCACCCAGAAATCCAATGGAACTTGCTGAAGCCTGTGGTCAACGTTGGCAGGACTGCAAAGACCAATTGGTCATTGCATCTGCCGGGTTCTTATGAGGCTGACGGTATCTCCGGTGAACTATTGGAAACCAGGTTCTATGTTATTGTGTTCTATGCTAGTACAAGGAGCAAGCCCTACAGGTCCTTGCAGCTTGGAACTCAGATGAGCTTGGGCTTGCACTCGCAAAAGGATACATAAGGAGATGATATGTAATGATTTGTAGGTGTCCCGAAGAATTTTTATGCCGACCTGGCAACGGATCAAATTGGAAGCCCTTCATTGGTCGCTCACGCGGATCTTTTTCACATCAAACACGCTCAAAAGGTCAATTGAAATGAACAATAGAAACTCATTGGCTCTCGTGCGGGTCCTCTCTGTTGACTCTCTGTGGGCCCTAACTAATCTTGATGGAGTTTGTTCAACTGCACTTTGTGATTGCTACTATTAGTTCCTTCTCTTGCTGGAAGATTGGCAGCAATGGCCGTGTCATGCAAAAACAACATGTCACTGGACACACAACAGAATCTGGATTTGAATTCTTGACCCATAGCCATTTTGCTGGATTTCAGCCTTCGCACATTCAAGCCTCACTTCTTGCCTTTCACACGCGACCAGGTGCTCGTCACGCTCTGCGCGGAACGGGGGTGGTCGTCATGCGACCAGGGGCATCTCCAAAGGCCGTTTCCAATGAATACAGTGGTTTCCGGGAAAATGGCACAATCTCCAGAAGGGCGGTCTTTATGGACTCCCAATCTAAAGGACATCTTGGGGTCTGTGCCATCTACTCTGAAACCACTGTATAAGTATAATTCCATGAACAACCCTTGTTTGTCTATTGCTTGTAAGTTGCATGTTTTTCTTGTCTTTAACATTTGTCGAAGGCCCGAGGACCAGCTTCCTTGGAAACTCTAAATCAGGGATCGGGTGTGCAACTCCTTGCCACATGGATTTGTGGACACAGTACGTATCAGCCATGTGCAAGAACATCTGCACAAGATACATAGTGATCCTATTTTAAATAGATCGAACCGGTTTCCATTTTTTATCGATGTGGGGGTCTATAGGAACGATCTATTTACACATGTCAAGATGGACTTCCACCCGACGCATGGGTTTCTTTCCAGCTACGTCGACTCAACCCCTTCGGGCGGGTGGTGCCGGAACTGGCCGCCCAGGGACCGGGGGATGTGGGAACAGACCCCCAGGAGTGAATCACCACCTGGTACCCACCTTCACCAGAACTTCACCAGCTCCTCAGGTGTAGTTGGAGCTGTGCAATAAAAGGAGACTCAAGGCCCCAAGCTCATTATAGGAAAAACCGGATTCCCTCAGCTGCGAAGTCGGTCGCAGGTTTTGGGCCTTCCAGAGCTTCTTCACATCCTCCTTTGCCCCCTCAGTGATGCTCAGCAATCCCTCCTGGAAAGAAAAAATTGAAAAACAACACCAAGAACTCTTGGATGGAAGGTTCAGAGACATCAAGATGGTCGATGGAAGATGAACCCGGCCCATGTAGGAAGGCTGAAGGTACTTCGACCGTCGATCGATCGATCGATCGCTTGCGACAGTTGCCAACTTGGCAATTACGGGGCGACTTGGGGCGAGCGCCATGGCACCATGTTCCACCGCGCCTGTGCGCAATGACGGTCTCCGGTGGTCCACGTTGGACTGGGCACTGACACGCCATGGGAGCTGCCTCGATTTGCAACACCTCCAACCGGCACGGACAGGTGGGAGTGCCTTGGCTGTGGGCTTGGCAGGGGAGAATGGTGGCTGAGAGTCTTGAAAAAGGCTCGAGTTCGTGCGTTCCATCCACTTCACCGGGGCACGCCGATGTCCATCGGCAATCTCTCAACCACTCGAGTCACAGTGGCTTTTTCTCGGAGGGATGCCCGAGAGATCTGGAAGAGGAGGGTGGTCACAGACAACTGGGTCGAGAACCGCAACTGTGACCTAGAAGGAATCCATGAATGGTGTGGATACACCTTCTTCTACGTGAAGTTCGGGCCTCAGCATGAGGATCCAGCTGGTCGCACACAGGGGCCCATCCCTCCACCAGGCTCGGTGTCATCAATCCGAGGTTATGGAAGCACTGAGGCCCACCGATCTCGTGCAGGTGAGAGAGGAAGAAGTGTCATGCATGCTGAAGGGCGAGCGGCTGATGGGGATGGAACTGCCTATGATGGAAGTGCAATCAGTGCTCGTGGCAGTGTGTCCCTCGAGGGTGGCCCAATGACTGGATATGAACTTAGGTTGCAAGGATGTGAGCAACGGGGGGGAGCTGGAAGTGGACTCTGGCCAGGCGGCTTGGACCCAGTCCTTGACCTGGGAAGGTCTATTGCAGCTGCCTTGCTGGATGGGCATTGCTACGGTTCCTTCGCCCCCCGCCGCGCTTGGAGAGACATGAAGAGGACTCAGAATCTGATGGAAGCTTTGAAGTCATGACTAGTGGTGGATGAAAAAAACCTGCCACTGGACAGACTGGTGGTGGCACCGCCATCAGGGGGGAGTGTGGGCAAGAAAGCATGGCCCCCCTTCCTTCTTTTGTTTGGAAGACACGCACAAACGAGAAGTGTTTTCCCTTGCGATGAACGCATCAGCACGCTTCGGCTCATGGCTCAAGAAAAAGAACCGACCCTTTTCCACTGAAGGAAACTCAGATTCAACATGCATTCGACCAAAGGCTGCTTGCCCCTGCTGACAGTCTGTAGCGAAACATATGCAAACATGCTTGCAACATGCTTCTGGCTACAAGTACTCTCCTGGATGAAAGTGTTGCTGCTTTGTGAAACTCTCTCTCCCTGGTTGGTCTAAGGACTCACAAATTGATTGCCAGATCATGGTAGATTATTTGGGGATCCTTGGGCGCTAGAAGTAGACAACATGCTGGCTGTTTCAAGGATTGCAACCGCTGCATTCACCGATGTCACATGTCAGATAAATCGTCCTTCTTGGGAGTTGCCGCCGCCTGCCAGAAGACTTCTCCAACATCCTAGCTGATTCATGCTGATTCTCTATCAGTCGCAATGCAAGTAACAAAGCCAGTGGTGTGATTGGACAAAGGTGGAGCTACAGAGTAGTCAGTCTTGTCAATGTTCCTCATGAACAACAAATACCTCCACAAATCCACAGAAATCACAATACACCCACTGAACCGAACACCAAACCAACCTGGCCATGTTCACCCCTTTCCGAACTGCAGGAACAAAGGGTACCTTGCAAGCCCGTCAAAGAGATTCCTGTCAAAGAGATTCATCGAGACAAAATCCAGGGAATGGCTGAATCTTGGAACGGACGTTGATGGTCGTGAGCCACTACAATCAGTGGCCGTAACAAAAAAAAACTGGTTGACCACGGAAAATAAACCGAATATGAATTAATGGATTCGAACAAGTCTAGCTCCGCCATCGAACTCTTCAGATTCTTCGCCTTGGCCAAGGTTTCTGGCGATTGTGGAGGACCGCCCTGGCAGCGAGGCTGGTGCTTTCACCGTGGTTCCAGCACATCGACCAAAGTTTACCTTGGCACTCATAGACTCAAGATGACTTAAACTAAAAGCGATGGCCTCAACCCTAAGAGCGAGGGCCTCCAACCTAAAAGTGATGGCATCCAACCTAGTAGCGATGGCCTCAAACCTAAAAGCGATGGCCTCCAACCTAAGAGCCATGGCCTTCAACCTAAAAGTGATGGCCTCCAACCTAATAGCGATGGCCTCCCTCCTAATAGCGATGGCCTCCAATCTAGAAGCGATGGCCTCCAACCTATGACTTAAACTATCTGAAACTATATATATATATTATTAGGTCATGCGGCATGCGTGCCTTTTACAAGGTGACCTGAGGCATTGAAGCAACATCAAACTGGCACCCAAATTGATTTAACTATCATGATCTATGTATCCAAATATACAGCAATAATATGCAATAATCAGTAATATATCCCAATATAAATCTTTCTCCAAGTATTGGTGCAATGCTTCACCCAAAGAGGTGTCTCAAAATGAGGTGCAAGTGATCCGAATGAGCCATCCAGCGTAAATTTATTGGGGACATGCCTTGTGTTTGACTTAGATCATGGTGCATTACGACTCAACTCCTGTTGAAACCAAACATCTTCTGAGTCTTGGCATGAAGCTATGCAGCTAAACGAAACGATGTAGAGACTTCGCTCAGCACCCGCCTCTCGAGGCCAATATTGATGCACCTCATTCACTGGAAGCTCCTCAAGGTCCTGATTTTTCGACATGGTGCTCCAACGACCTCCATTTTCAATGCCCGGTAGTGAAAGCGTGCGTGCCACGGAGGATGTGGACGTCCCTACCTTCTGATGTGAGCGGTTCGGAGGATAGGTACATACACCCACCCACGTCAGTCGGGTGGTAATCAACCTTCCGCAAACACAAAACACACACAAGTTTCTGGTTGAAATGGGACGTGCTTTTGGACTCATTCTTAACTACATCGTCTTCCCGCTGCTTATCATCTTCAACTGTCATGGTGGGAGGTTGAGATGTCCAGTGGCTCTGGTCTGCCCATGATTAGTAAAACAAAATGATGTGACATAATTTAATTGTACTTTCAATTACAAACATCTGTCCAGCAAAGTGGTTCCCCTGCAAATTCAATGGAAGTGTCAACGCAGAATCGATTGTGTTGTGCAACTTGATTTAACTTGTCTTGAACAAAAGTCACTGCTAGAACCGAAGAATCTTCTTGCACTATGGACCACATGGTGTACATAATCAGTCCTTGAAGCTTACCTTGAAGGGCTCAATGAGGTCCCGAGGTCCCTCACTAGCTTGCAGCTTCACGAATGTTGATGCATCATGCCCATCCAACAACGACCAGTGATTTCTCTCCTTCCAGGTCATCTTCACACCGGCGTCCCGCGCCTTTCCTGAGATCCAAGGTGATGAGGGACGCTCTTTTCCCAATCTCCTTTTCTAAGGAGCACTGAAACTCCATTATAACAACTACCCTGGAGGCCTTAACATGGTACCCTTCTCCCACCCAGTAACTATTATATAATATTATATATAATATATATATATACATATATACAAGTACATAATTCGATGAACAAAACATCTGACACAATGCAAGGACCTCCAATGGCCACCGGCGAATACTTCCCGGAGTTTCGCGATCAGGGAACTCGAACTCAAGGGCCGAGATCTGCTTTAACTTCCCACCCCTCCCCCAGATGTAACCCGTCTGAGATGTGGCTGTGGCTGTGGGTCAAAACCGGTGTCCTGAAGGTCAGATCCAGAAAGGAGCAGAGTAGCAATGCATTTCAAACAGAAGATTTGGCCAGAGAAACCAAGCACAGCAAATAGAAGACATTTCTTTGTTTATATTTTGGTGCCAGACAAGAAATCTTGCAATTCTGCCACAAGTATATCTTTTCTTGCGTGTTTCCCAAAGATACCATCTGTAGTGCTGGTACAACGGACAGGCAAAATCCACCATCTGTCATACCGATGAAGCAAACTGTCTACCGAAGCAAAATAGAAATCATAGAAGATCAAAAAAACTTTTCAAACAGAAGATTGGCCTGACAGTCCAGGTTCCAATAGAAAAATTGAATAGGAGGCCCTTTGGTGGCTTTCGCAAAAGTAGCTATAAACAAACGATCATTCGATATAACATTGTATAACCCCTCGTGAACACCCCGACACCCGAAACTTCTTTCTTCTGTTTGATACTTTTTTGTTGGTGCGCGAAGAAAGCAGGATCAAATTGAAGACACAAATTGCGACTATTCAGGAACTTGTTCTATCTGTGAGGCTTGGATTATAGGTGCTTTCGACTTGCTCAAGGGGTCGAGCAAAACATGTTGAACCGGTGGAACAGGGACGAGAAGAAATTTGAAATGATCCCTTTACAAACTGGGTCTGCGCCACTTCCTTTATTTTGCAATGAATCAAAGAAAAACTTACCACAAAAGGACAAACAACGACCTTCCTGCTATACCAAAATCGGAAACTGTCAGAAGTGGTGACAGTATGTGACTCGGTGACACCGTCCGTCTCTTGCGTCCCCAAGGACGAATCTGCTCTGCCAAGACCGCATCATGTTGACCTCGCCGAGAAAAACGAGAAGAGATCCAGTTTCTGGGGCGAAAATCGAATCAACAAGAGTTTCAGCATCCAAATGGCAGCCAATCTCTAGTATGAGTCACTTGGTAAGGGCAAGTCGTGCTACAAATTCACTTTCAAACGTGCCACAAGATGTGCACCAACTCCAGAATTTCAGGCTTTTCGCCATTGGCTTTGTACGAGCAACCCAGCAGCTAGGAGTGTGGCAACGGATTGCACATTAGCTGTTGAACATGTTGAACATCTGTTCTGACTTTCTTGTATTATATTACTTATGTTATAATATGTAATATATATACATATAGGAAATCATGACAATAATGTTTACATATCATGTTTACACATCATGCTTCGATGTTCCAAGCTCCAGCATCTAACATCGCCCATGGATCCGCCCAATTCATGACCTTCCCCACTCGGGACAAGCCGCGGATTTGCTCGATTTGATCCTCGACATGGGGCCCAATGTGGCCGGATCGATGGCGGCATGGATTTCCAAGACTGCAAGCATAGGAGGACGTTTGTCCTAAAGAAACAAATGAACCTCTCAACACGTTGAAGGTTTCCATAACTCGATATCACTTGATGTGCGCTCTCTTCTGCCAATTGTTTGCAGTGGGACCTGGCTTTCAAGATGTCATCTCCATAAAAAAGAGAAACATCACAATTGGACTCCGCACCCGGGATTGGTAGGCAATGGATGTTAGACAATAAGTCACCTCGCGGATTCCGTCGACTCGGACTATGAGTCTCGACCCTCGGGTCCTCGGTGAACTGAGGAGCGCGGTGGGCCAAACGCACTTGTGGTCCTCCAAGCCAAATGCTTAAGGTCAACAAACTGTCCCTCAAAGAAATCAGCTGGATAGAACCTCTCTGTCGAAGTAGATGGTCTTGCAGGTGCCTAATACCTATAACATGTTCTACCTCCTTTGTGGAGGCTGACGACTGTTGAGCAAATCGAGATCTTGGGAATCACCGAGCTTCTGATACGGAAGATGGATTCACGTGCGGGCATATGGCAGGGGACATCTACCTCTCCAAGTGATGAGTTCCACGCACATCTGATCTGAGCAAAATATATTACAAGAAGCACAAGCAGACTTGAACTGAGGAAATGCCTATAGTATTGGACCATATTGGACCTGTGTGATGTGGTTTCCGTCCAAGTGAGCATAGTTCTTGTGCAAAGCCGAGCTCGAGATTCCGGCCACCCCTGCGAACCCCGACGTGCCTGCAAGGAAATGCCGCACCTCATGCAAAATGGACAACACTAGTGAAAAGCCAGGTTTGTAGAGTTGAGCTACGTTATATAACTGGTTTCTTTATGTTTCGTGATGAAGCGAAAGTCAATCCGAAATCACCCCTGCGAAGAACCAAGAATATACAATGTTCCTGGAAGTCTCAAGCTGCCCACCCAGCCTGCGTCTGGGAGGTCAGGAGTGTCGAAAAGCCAAGGCGAGATGTCGCACGGGCGAGAAAAGCCATGGTCGTCCAAGATTGGAGCGTTTGATGTACAACAACTTCTGAGAGTCGAATGGATGCCCTCCAATGCAAGGTTCTCAAAGGCAATGCCAGTGGACTCGGTCTGGCAAAACACATATATAGAGTTACGCGCAATGTACCTTGAAGAAGCTTCTGCATCAAAAGGAAGTGGGAAAGTCAGGAGGAACCCATCTGCCATGTCCAAACATTCATATATCATCATATATCTAGATCTAAGGCTTCCACAGATTCCACCACATGGTTCAGTGAGCCAGCGACTGGCTTGCCATTGGTGTTTAATCTTGACAGCCGAGCCAAATGTCTGCATCGAAGGTGTCAGCAACCTTTTCCTTGTGTCAGTAATTGCAAGCTGCTATAAGTAGCATTTGCATCCAAAATGCGGTAGCAAGAGGAAATTGAATGGACTAAATGGTCTAAATGAAACAGCAAACATTTGCAGTGATGAGAGCAATGGATGAACACCCCATCTTCTGCGAGAAAGAAAAGCGGTTGCTGCATGCAGCAACATTTCAAGCATGTTCACCGAATGAAACATCGATCCAACTGAGCGGGACGGATGTGCTCTCAAATCAATCTGACCCAAGTCATTCTGCTGGGGAGAGACCCTGACAACATCTCTCAAAACAAAAACACCTCTCAAACAATCCCATACCTTCAAGCAACCACTTGGTCACTTGAGCGTCCTCCAGCCATGGCAGCGGTGACATCAAGAGTTGCACCTGAGGCCATGGCTCCGCATTTCAGCCACACCTCTGTAGGCTTGAAGTTGTTTGGCTCCAAATCAGTGTCACCAATGTTTCACCATTTTGAAACAACTGATGTTTGGCCTTGAAAAACATGTCCTTGGACTTCTTTGGCGCTTCAAGAATCTTTTTTCAACATAGTCATAGTGTCAACCAAAACCACCTCCCCATTTCTCGGTGACGCAGATGCGACTGTTCTTGCGTCGAGGTGCCATGGCCGCATACCACCAATATCTCCCTTTGGCCACAATGCCTGGGCAAGAAAGCAGGAAAATCCACGAGGATGACCAAACTCTGGCAGCACCGATCAGTAAAAACCCTATAGGTCTAGGTCCATGGCCACATATGGCTACGGCTGGGACGTCACGGATGTTCATGGCTTCACGTCTTCGCTAGTGGAGGTGATCGGCGGGGTTCCAACCATAGCTATCACAAGCAACATTACGAATCTTAGGTTCAAACATGTTCAAACATATGATATGCCTTTTTGGATTTATTTCAATGGTGTACTATCTGCTAGGACGGGCCAATAGCAGCTCATTGTACCGGTGCGACCCGAGAGGACTTGAGGCCAGAGGGGGTGAACGAAAGCTAGCCGGGCTTCCGGTGGTCTGCTGCTGGTGCTGCTGCTGCTGGTGCTGCTGCTGCCGCTGCTGCGCTGGGCGCTGCTGCGCTGGGTGCTCTGCAGGCGCCGGGTCGTCTGCTGCTGCTGCTGCTGGCGCTGGGTGGTCTGCTGCAGCTGCTGCTGCCGCGGCGTTGGGTATGCTGCTGCTGCTGCTGCCGCCGCTGGGTGGTCTGCTGCTGCTGCTGGTGCTGCTGCTGCTGCCGCTGCTGCGCTGGGCGCTGCAGATGCTTGGTGTGCTGCAGCTGCTTGGTGGTCCCGCTCACCGCGCGCAGGGGGGAGTCGAACCGCGGGGGGGGGGGGGTCCATAAGATTGATTTAATCAATTATTTGAGGTTTCTGAGGTGCGTCCACCCCGTCACTTAACTTGCTAAAGCAAGAGCAACTCCAGCTAGCTAAGGCTAGCTTTCGTGATGAGACGAAATGACCCGTGGGGGCCGAGAGATGACGTCCGTGCAGCGGAGTCGTCGAGAGATGGGTCCCTTCACCGACCAGGTCGTCTCTGGGCACCCCCAGCTGGGGAAGAAGACGTCATCGCTCCGCCGTGAAGCGCGCCAAATGACGTGGGGTTCCTGGCAGTCAGACCAGTGGCAGCTGAGGACTTCCGGCAGACCAGCACTTATCAAGCTACTGGTTTTTGGGCGGGTGAAAGTCAAGATTCACTCAAAGAGAAATGTTAACAAATGTTGACAGCGTCATTCATGCAAGTTCGCTATCCCAACTTTAATTGTACATGCAAAAATACTCTGAACTGAATTGTTACTTGTAAAACGGTATAACGCAGTAACACAGTGGTGAAATCCGGGTGCCGATTTCAGGCCATCAGTTTTCACAACAATTTGTTCGGTGCACTATTGTTTCGAATCCAGAGGCATTCAGGAAGTCCCTCGGCCAGCTTGTGGAGCATGGACCACCCAAGTGGAAAGATCAGTGGGACGCCAGAACATGTCCCACTCAGTTGGACAGTCCGGTGGACTGTAAGAGGTCCGGCGCTTCTTCACAACGATCGACTGGGAACTTGGGAGTCTGGAAATTGGATTAAATTGGATGAAGAACAACACCGGCTGCTATGTGATGCACTTGATTTTGTTCATGCGAAGTGTCTTGCTGTTTGTGTCACTTTGCTGTTGTGTGGATGGTTGAGTTCTCCATGCTCATCTCACTGATCCAAACTGAGCTTTGTTCAGAAAGATCAAAGAAGTCATATAGAGAAAATCGCAATATATGTTTAAACATGTTTAAACAATATAGTGGAGAAAACTCAACCGGCAATCGAAAAGGTCAAATTGGTAAAGGAAATGGTGTTTCCTTTTTAGCTGGATGCAAGTGGACGCTTCCACCACAAATGCTCCGTAGTCGAAAGTCAACACGACAGGACGATTGTGCTCCGTGCCCAATACATACACTAGTAGCTCCTGGCATCGCTACTAGGAGCAAGGACGCTACTAGTAGCTCCTGGTCTTACTACTAGGAACAAGAAGCACACCAAAGTTTGCTCTCTCTCTCTCTCTCCCTCATTCTGGATTTTCCTCTGCAAACAAGCTTGGCTGGCGTTGCAAGTGCAGGTGGAATTGGTCTGTCCTGCCAAAGGATTGCATGCGGAGGCCTTTGATGTGCAATACTGATGCATCATGATGATCTTTATTTAGAAATTAGATCCTATATATTGGCACTTGAAGATGTCATAGGACATAGGAAATCAACAAACATGTTGCACGTTCCTTGCACAATAATATGTTTATAAGTTATGAGATATGTTGTTGGACATCCGCTGTCCAATGTATTACAGTACACGTATCAACAAAAAAAAATCAAAACAACAACTTCTCTGCATGGGGCACTGGGCAAAGCGTGCATGCCGCCGTTATTGGGTTCCAAAGGGGTATGATTCAATTCAATCACGCCCATAGACAAAGAAGAAACTGCATGGACATACTGTTCTTTTGAAACAACTTCAAACTTCATCACGCTAATGTAACACCCATCGATCATTTCTGAGAAGAGTAACACCCATGGGGTCCTTTGACACATCGATCTAGGTGGCAGATCGATGTGCCACACCCCGGGCAATTGGGACGTCAGTGAGTTTTTCTCACCAGGTCTCGGCTAGCAGAGATGGCTACCTGGTCGGCCGCACGAACGGTGATCTGTCACAACTAGAGTATGTCGGCCTGGAACTCATACGTTGTCCTAGGAAACAAGAGTATGTATGCCGATCATCTTGAACAATCATTAACGATCGATCAACGTCACCCTGGGCTTGCCAGCTTGCTCTAGCCGAGTTAGTACGATTACGTCTGTTGAAAATTCCATGAACCATGCGCTTCCCTGTGCCTGGTCTGGGTGTGGGAAACTACTGCTCACCAAAAAAAAACTTGCATGGCCCATCTGAATCCATTGCGATCCCAAGCGCTTTGGCCTGCTGTCTCCACATTCCTGAGGCAAGGGAGAGAGAAGGGGGAGAGCGGGGACAGCTGCCCTCAACCGAACTCAGCTATGCCTCTTGGTGAGGAATTGACTCTTCACAGTTTGATCGAGAGATATCGCCCATGATTCTGATTGGAACACACAAACAGGCTGGATCATTGGGAGTGTCGGGCAGTGGCGTACATAAGCCACATAAACTAACATTCAAAAAAACAAAGGGTTCTAGCATGTTCTAAACATCCTCTGTCACCGAATCCTCCCAAACTGACAAACCGTCTCTCGGTCACTCTTTTCTTCGGTGGCTCTCACCATGACACATGATAAAGGGTCACCATGCTCCCCCCACTCAGGAGTTGAACAACAGTTGAACTATTGATTGACCAAACGGAACGTCGTTCAGATCTCGCGGTGCCAACATTTGATACTCTCCCTGGAACTAACATGGAAGTGGATGGCACCACCTGTTTGTAGTGGAAAATGGTATTCCAAGGGGCCATTCTCCACTTCCATGTTAGTTCCAAGGAGTGTATCCTTCGAAACATGTGTGTCCTTGAGCCATTGTGGTTTCTTGGGATGATCGAACCCCATTGGTCCAGCGAAGAGACCAAGTTTCTGCCAATCCGGAACCTTCTCCAGACCATTCTGCGTTACCTGGAACGGGCGTGCATGTCGGTTCTGCGTCACCAGGCAGGCGGAATATCCCAAGTGACTTGCCAAGTGCCATAGCATACAACTGGTGATGCACCACGCTGACAATAGACTTATAGACATGCAAGGGTAGACAAAGATGGAGGGACCCTCCATTGGAGGGTTGCATTTTTTGAAACGAGTGATAAACAAACCACAACAAAACAGTGGTCACGTAAAAACAAATACGGGACTGCAAAAAGGGGCCACTTAAACCATGACCGATGTCACTCTACAAGAATACCAATGCCCTAATGAGCTCACACAGGATTGGAACATGAAGCATGTACCCTCCCTCAAACAAGAGAGGCACCTGAAGGCTATTCTCTACACCTTGGGTACTCTTCAGCTTCCATGATTCTCTTAGAAGGTGCATGCTGCATGAACATTATCATTTTTGCCATCAACATCGTCTTCACCACACATCCCCGAGGCGCATGCCGGCCGACCGATGTCCGCCCCGTCCGTCCGGTGACCGGAGGATGTCCCGGTGTCGCCTTGGACCACACGTCTGGTCGCTCGCACCTGGCGATGCGGACGGCCTTAGGGCCTAGGAAAGCTGAACCTTTTGAAGTTGCCAGGTGGCCCCATTCAATGCAACCCATGTGTTATGTCAGCTTTGCCTTGGGGTTTGATCCATCACATTTCAGTGAGACTAGTACAAAAAGAATCCCAACTATCCTTGGAACCAGTTTTCCCTTTTGTTCCATGTTTCTCCAGGCTCTCCTAACTTGGGTTGACAGTGACACCGTGGCTTCACTGCATACGTTCAGTTCCTACATGAGGCGCCATCAAAATCAATTGCTTCGGACTGGTAGAATAAAGTGGAAGTTATCGTTTTCTGGGGCCCTATCGCTTGACATAGTTTGAGACTTTAGATTCCACATCATTCCAAACAGGTGCGAATATTATCGAACAGTAAGAACTACTTTTTCAAGTACTCTAAGTACTCTATATATCTATAGGTTCATGATGGTTCAAGGGTCCATCCCTTGGCGGGGGTTCGTGTAACAAATGGTTGCAAAGTTATCACTTTGGAAGGGTTGAATCCCCTTGGATGACAAATGATATGATAACTGCAGAAACACAGGCGCTGCAGGTTGAATTTCCATCACCGGCTTTGCCCATGCGTGAATGTGCACAACAGTGTTTGGTTGGATTACGCCAACTTGAATGGACTGCTGGATGTGGTTACAAGCTATCGTCATCGTTTCTTTGGGGGGGCCCATCACTTTACATGGTTTGGTACACTTTCTCAGAGCAACTGCTCCCTCCCTACTAAAGTAATCTACCCTTATTTGGCCGTGACTCGTATGTCTACATACAAAAAGGACTCTGGCACTTCTGTCACTGCCTTCCTTGCTCAACTGAACCCAATTCTGTGCCAACCTTGACCTCTGGGTTTCTCAAACGAACTTGAAGCGCGATGGGTCTTCCATGCCCTGTCCTCCCACCAGGCCTGCACCATGGCCGGACCGCCACAAACCTGCCTGGGCCACCGCACTTGCTCCAGCTTCGGAAGAAGCACCTGCTTCCATGGTCGCCAGCGACAAGTGCAGGTCTTTCAGAGAAGCCAACAAGATCTTCCTGGCGAATCTTCAGTAGAAACAGCTGGTGCTACTTGTTGACTCTTGTGAGTAGAAACTCCTTCTGAGTAATGTTCTACTTCGGCACTTCTTTGCACAAAGCTTCAGTTTCTAGATGCTACAGTCACCAGCACAGAGATTTCAAAAAGCGAGTATATATATATATACGTACTGTGTGCGCAAAGGATCTGGGTCACCTCATCACCTCTACGATTGGGCTTCCCATGTGTTTCCCATTCTGTTCATAGCCGCTCCAGGTCTCTTCCCCATCTGTTCATCGCCCTCTGTAGGGGCCCCGGGCTTCATCGAGTAGGGCGGATCGCTGCACCAGCGCTGACGCCACCTGTGGTTTGATCACATGCCCCCTGCCCACCCCGGCGGTACCGGAGGGCCTCGGAAAAGAAGACATGTCCCAAACATCCAGCCAGATGATTCCAGGTCTTTGGTTCACCGAACCGTCCACCTGTTCTGAGAATCGGGGGAAAAACATGGAGGAAAAACATGGAAAAAACAATCCCGTCAAATGGTTAAAGGTTATTCAGTGAATGGGTGAGTCTGGTGGTGGTCTTAAGGGCGTGCTCGTCTACATGGTTTTTTGAGTCTTCGTGGTCGACTCGCTTCGTCTCGCCGACCACTCCGACTACATATAAGGAAATCCAAGGAAACAATCACACATGTCCCACTCAAATAGCTTAGTAAGAGTAAGAGGCTAGTAAGGGCTTACTGGCTTAGTAAAAGTTTTCCGACCCAGATAGGTTTCTTTCCAGTAAGAGGCATTTGACATAGCTTCCGACTGCAGCATCTATTCAGAACTGCTTTGGATCACTCGCCTGTCAACCCAAAATTGGTCTATATAAATAAGTTTCATGCACAGCAAGGAATGCAATGGACAAAACTGGAGTCCTCAGTGGAACCAGCCAGGTCAAAGCGTTTGCGTTGGGTGCGAAGAAGAATCCGGCCCCTGTCCAAGCTGAATATCGAGGGGACCGACCAGGTCAAAACACCTCCGCCTTGGAACTGTAGAACTGACTGAAACAGACTGGGTCAGTTCTAAAGCAACTGACGTTGGAACGTAATTGCTCACCAGAACTTACCAATAGGTCCCAATCTGTCTCACCAACAAGATTGGTCGTTGATCATGTCACCAAAGCCCCACGAATACAGGTCTTTTTTTCATTGACACTCCTGCATCTTGATCAATGACACATCAAAGTAGGAGGCTGTTAGAATAATGTCAATATACAATCCATGTTTGGAGATGTCTGGAGGGGTTCTATCATGTTTTGTCAAGAGTGGCACATGTCTGGAAGGCTTCACATGTTGCACCGGGTCATTGGTCCGCTCAGCTCAGCGCCTCCGGTGATCTCGATCCGTGACCGCCGCAGCTTCGACTAAGACGCGCTCCTCGACGTCGGACGGAAGAGGTCGAGTCAGTGTGCTCCAGGACTCGCACTCGTGCGATCCTTACGGATATTGGGTTAAAGTTGAGATCCTCAGGACCGATTTCCGAAGGATCTCTGCTGCTTCTGAGACTAGCATTCGACATGGATTTTATTCGGGGGGGAGCACCCAATAGCACCCAACAGGGGTCGAGGAGTTGAGGGCGGATAACTCACGGGATAGCGTCTTCGCCGCTGGTCGCCTGACGGTCGCGTATTGGTCGACGACTGGTCGTGATGCCATGTTTTGCAAGGCATTGCTCCCGCACTGTGCCATAACCTTATGTATGTCGCTGATCGTTGTTGGAACTTTTGCCACTTCTTAAGTTTGAGAGCCTTTTCCTCTTGAGCTCCCTGAATATCCCTCAAACCTCAAACCCTCTCGACAGGGAGGTACCCAACTTCAGCCTGAGCTTGCACAGGCCGTGCTGCTGGCAGCGGGGCCGTATACAGTCACGACCATAACCAAGAGCGCGTCCGTTGGCGAGGCAAGCAGCAATGTTGCCTCACCGACCACACTAACCATAACGACTTGGCCACCCCTTTTATGATTTGCGGCTGCAGGGGTTCCATCAGTGGTACGGTCACGTCAGGTCTGCAATTGGAAGAGCTGGCAGGACAAACAAAAGGGCCATTATATAACCTCTGATTGCCTCCATGACTTAGAACACGGGCCATGTGCGGGCTGTGGGGAGACTGCTTCGGTCAATGTAGGGATCGGCACAAAGCATGGCTGGGGATGCGACAAATAGTTGGAGGACTTGACATTGACCACAACAAATCACACGAAACATCCCGAAACAAAAAATCCAAACAAATCTACTGCAAGCTTTTCAGGATCCTTTTCCTCCACAGCTCTGCCCCCGACGAGAACGGGTCAAACTCCGCGTTGAAAGCGCACGTCTGGTCCTCCAAGAAGGCCTCTGTCAGTCGTGTGGAGCCAGACGGCTTGATGACAAAGCCAACAACACTTGGGGCCCTTGCGTCTGTTCACTTCGATGTTATAGTGCAGAAATGAAGCTATAATAAGTTTATTTATTAGTCTATTACAGTATATGATCTTATAATATCTTTCAGTTGTTGGTCCAACTTCACTGTGGCGTACGGAAAAAGAATACAAAACTACGGAAGTCCATTCCTACCAGTTGACCGCACCCCTCTTCCCGGAGAAACAACTGGCTGCACTTGTTTGTGTGCGTGCTCATAACCATTCAGCAGAACAGCGCTATCCCCTGCTCACAAACGTTGAATTGATTACAGTTATGGTTCAACTGGACACACCAGACCATGTTTCACACATATGTAACCTACAGTTCTTCATGCCGAACATGCAGATGGGAAGATGTGTCCCATGCTTGATCCTTGACGATGATTTTTGGAAGACGCTTGTCATATCGTTGTCTTTAGGGAAATCGATGTTGCACGGTTACACCATTGTATCACGTAGCTTGAGCCAACAGAAACAGGTCATATCATCAAAATGCTTTACTACAACCAAAATGCTTTACTACTATCATCAGAAACAGGTCATATCATCAAACATCACTATATTGCAACCACATGACTCTCAAAATGATTACAGTGGTGAGATTGAAGGACCGCAGAGACGCGGCGAGACATGGCGAGACCGTCTGAGACCCAGCGCCTGCAGGAAGGCGCTAAAGAGCAGAAATGCATTCCAGCCTCGTTGGACGTCCACGTTTCCGCACGTTTCGACGGGTCTTTTCACACGCTCACCTCGCTGACCTCCCTGACCTCTGGGTGATGTGACCCTTCTGGGTCACCTCTGGTGGCGCTTATGGTGTCTTAGATCGGCACCATCAAGCGTGTACAGGGGGTTTAGTGGTGATATGGCAACCAATATGTATGTAATATGTAATTCATGTATATTATGTATATATAATATATCAATCTGTATATACATACAGTTCGTCTTTAACTTTACTTTATCTTGTGCTGGTTGAGTTAGAATAACTGCGTCTCTTGCACATCACCAGCATGACAGCTGCTTCCCAGGCCAGACGGCAATGGCCAGGTTGATCTTAAAAGGACCAACAGCTTTTGACAGTTCTGGTCCTCGAGCCCAGGTACGCACCGTATTTTCAAGGCAACTGGGCTCGTGTAAACATCGCAAGGAATCCGGCTAGATAAATCCTAAGCTTTAGCTTGGGGGGGGGGCATTTTTCAATGTTTTTTGAAAAGTGATCAAATTGGACCAGACGTTGGCGATGTCGGTTATGCCGGTCGGGACGGATTGCATTGACGACATCGCAAACGTCTCTTAGATAGATAGGTAGATAGACGGAGAGATAGCTAAGTAGATAGACGGAGAGATAGCTAAATAGATAAATATGTCGATAAATAGACAGATAGATAGACAGGTAGATAGACGGAGAGATAGCTAAATAGATACATAATTTGATAAATAGAGAAATAGATAGGTAGATAGACGGCAAGATAGCTGAACAGATGGATAGGCAAATAAATAGATAGATAGATAGATAGGTAAACCCGCCCGCACCATATAAATAGATAGATAGATTTAAAAAATAGACAGATAGATAGACAAATCGAAAATAGATAGATAGATAGATACATAGATAGATAGATAGCTAAATAGATAGAAAGATAAATAGATAGATAGATAGATAGGTAGATAGACGGAGAGATAGCTACATAGATAGGTAGGTAGATCAATAGATAGATTCATAGGTAGAAAGACGGAGAGATAGCTAAGTAGATAGACGTAGAGATAGCTAAATAGATAGATAGGTAGGTAAATAGACAGATAGATACATAGGTAGATAGACGGAGAGATAGCTAAATAGATACATAGTTTGATAAATAGATAGATAGATAGACAGATAGCTAGACGGCGAGATAGCTGAATAGATAGCTAGATAAATAAATAGATAGATAGATAAAAAATAGACAGATAGATAGACAAATCGAAAATAGATAGATAGATAGATCGATAGATAGATACGAGTAGGTAGATATTATGGACATCGCAGAAATCGCAAACGTCTAGGCAAACCGTGGGACACTGTACGATTGATATCATGGATGTGTTCGGTCGTGTGCCCAGTCCGACTGGATGAGGTGAATGGTTGTAGTTTTTGATGCCCACACCATGCGCTCCGCCCACCCAGAACCATCGGATGGCCTGAATATTAACCTTTATGCCTTGAAACATAAACTCTCTCAAATGACTGCGATCTGTGCGGGCGGCTTCGACCGCGAAGCGGAGTGAATAATTACCTACTACTTTCTATATAATACGTTTAAACTATGTTTAATCATCTCTGCTCAAGCTGCCCAAACAATCTATTTTGGCGGATGGTGGATCAGAATGATGGCAACGGCTTCCAGGTGCTGAATCTTCTGCCAACTTGTTGAACTGTTGACGATGACTGTCACTTCTAGATCAATCTTTCTACCGTGCAGGGCCTGAGCAGTGACCTGCGGGTCTTTGGCCGAAGGGTACTGAGGAATTTGGGGGAGTCTAGGGCTGCTCTAAACTTTTTGCTGTTCATTGGTTTGCTGCAAAAAGGAGCAAACACCCGCCACGCCCGGAAACTTATATTTTAGAAGCAGAACATTGCTGAATGGCTATTGGAATGCAAACAAGTTCTGAAACTCAGTTCAACTCCGGCGATGATTCTACGTATAGGAAGGTGTGTTCATGTATCTAGATGCCCGCTTTGGGACTATAGGATTGGCCCTTAATTTTTTTCCACAACATACAAGTAGCATAGAAAACCCTACAACAACTCCAAGCAGAAACGTGATCCTGCTAGTCAAGCTTTGGGAATGTTTTTCGCCCGTTTCCGGAAACGGATCCAACCGGTTGGTCCATGGGAGGCAAAGAAGAAGAAGAACGAGGTGAAAGAAGGAAGCTGGACCCAACAGCTCCGTCGAAACACCCAAAAGATCCCGAAAGAATGGAACTTCCTGTGTTTTGATGTTTTGTCGATTTCTAAATCCGAAATACATCGAAATACCGGAATACCGCAGCAGGACAGCAAAGACTCATGTGAAACAAAGCAAAACAAAAGAATCAGTTGTCCACTTCTCTCCAGTGCAGTTGCCCTCACTGCCCTGCAGCAAGCATCTTCAGTTCCAAGGAATTGGCCGAAGCCAGAGGTGCTCCGATCGTCGTGGTAGATCAAATAGCCTAAGTCCGAAAGCAAATGGCATCGGGTAGTTTCTCCCCGAAGATGAATCGCAAAGTGGGACACACGCATTCATGACGAGTGGTTTTCCATCATGTTCTACCTGCATGTAGGTGGTCTACTGCATGCCTAAATTTGTCCAACCCTCCGTTGCTTCCGGAATCACATCACCTAACCTGGCTTACTTACCGTCACGAGCGCTTGTTCTCGAAACAAGTGAACAAAGTGATTCGCCAGGAGCTTCCGCAGTCTGTTGAGTACACAACGGAGTGAGACAAGCGCAAAATTTCACTGTCAAACCCAGTTCAACACCATCCCAGGAGCCCTCACGAGCATCTTCGCAGCGCTCGGGATTCTGACCTCCGCAGGAAGAATGCGGCGCGGAGCCGCACGAGGCCAACGTTTGGACCTTTCAGAGTCCTGTGAGGTACCCCCACGGTGGAGGCGCAATCGCTTGGACGTCCGCCACCCAAGACTTGGCGGAGGACTCATGTGATTCCTCTTTTGGATGTGCCACCAAACGCGTTGTTTTTTGAAGTTGCCATGGATTCATGCTGCGTTTCAACGCGCTGAGGGTTCATCTATGCTTTTGCACCATGGTTCGCACTGCGGTTTACCATAGCATGCTGGTGACTTGACCGTGTTGCCTGAAAAACTGGCCCAACATTTTTGGACTCAAACATGGTCTATGCTGGTCTATATGAGACTCTCTATCTGTTCCTTTCTGTCCATGACCCACGACAAAGGTCGCCTTCAGAAACCCGAACAATTGGACGGTATCCACTCACGTATTCACCTGCAGCCAGCCTCTAGCCGTCCAGCAGCTGCATGGGAGACGATCGCAAACCAATCACACGGATGATCAAACCCATGGGGCTAATAGGGCCAGTCTTCGAATAGAAGCATCCCTCCCGTCTTCGAAGCTGTCGCTGCTAGGTCCTACCCCCAAAATGGCTTTGGGATCTCCGAAAGAACCTTGGATTTCGAAGCCATGCCATCAAAAGTCAATTTCTTCGACCAACCTTGATGTCCTTTCCAGATGGATCTCTTGGATGGCATGTGAACAGTTGGACTGACTAAGCCCTCCACTTGCATGGAGCTGGCGCCAAATGTCCTCGCCAGCAAGGTCATTTGGCCAGAAAGGCACAAAACCAGGTTGGCTCACAGGTGGAGGCGGGAAAGGCGTGTCTGGTGTCTATATCCAGAGACACTAGACTATATGACATATGACACATTATGATTTTCACATTGGTTGCAAGTGCCATGGGCACAAAAATGGAAGACCCGACACCGTGAGTCATCTTTGTTCGTCTACAGATTTGTCAAACGCAAAGCTGATCGAGCACAAGACATGTCCCCGGAGTTCCAAAGGCCTGGACATGTCACTCACCCGAAGCTTGACGTCCAGGATCTTTCACATCTGCTAGGGGGAGTATTTCATCATCAGGATCTCCTAACGAGTATCTGTGGGTCTCGGCGAACACGTTTGAAAACACTGCCGAGGTGAATCTCTGTGGAGGGAGGGAGGGGATGAGTGATAAGTCGTGGTCCAATCTCCAGTGTATTGAACACCACTTTGCAACGGTGTCATTGTCCACAGCAACCAAAAGCAAGCAATTCAGTGACTGCGGAATCACTCAGGTTTCCTGGCCTGGCTAGTGAAAATCAGTGAAGCAAGTCCACTTCACCATTGGATGCAAGTGGATGGTCAAAAGTCATCTTTTCATCCACTCCTCGCTGGACACCATGCGCAGGCTCTTCAGCGGAGCCGCCTCACCGGGAGTCGCTCGGGGCCAAGGCACAGATGTAGAAACGGTTGAAGACTGAGAAACACTTTTTGCGGCACCTACACCAAGAATCTCAACATATAAGCACCAAAGCCCAAGGGTGATCATGTAAATGTTTCATCCCAAGTAAGAAGTGAGTCACACAAAGATGTTGTATTACGAGCATCTTGAAATGTCAAACATCAGCCCCTCCTTTGGCAATCCGTGGCATCAGCTGTCAATGGGAAACCCTACCCTACTATAATTTGCTATGTATACTGTATACCTCTATTCTTGTTGGCCTATGAGTTTGTTTTGTTATGTCACAAACTGTTTAAGTTGTAGAACTGCATACTCAGCAATGTAAGTGTAACGAAAAAGACCCTGTTGCAGGGAGGAGCAACATCGAATTTCGCGTTTTGTGGTGGGACATGGTGGGACTCTTGCAATGGCCTAATAGCACTTTAAGGAAACTAGTAGCGATGGTCTCCAGCCTAATAGCGATTGCCTCCACCTTAATAGCGATGGCCTCCACCCTAGTAGCGATGGCCTCCTCCACCCTAATAGCGATGGCCTCCTCCACCCTAATAGCGATGGTCTCCCCCTAACAGCGATGGCCTCCAACCTGATAGCGATGGCCTCCACCCCAATAGCGATGGCCTCCACCCTAAAAGCGATGCCCTCCAACCTAATAGCGATGGCCTCCACCCAAATAGCTATGGCCTCCACCCTAATAGCGATGGCCTCCAACCTAATAGCGATGGCCCCAACCTAATAGCGATGGCATCCACCCTAATTGGGGTGGCCTCCACCCAAATAGCGATGGCCTCCACCCTACTAGCGATGCCCTCCAACCTAATAGCGATGGCCTCCAACCTAATAGCGATGGCTTCCACACTATAATGGCGATGTCCTCCACCCTAATAGCGATGGCCTCCACCCTAATAGCGATGGCCTCCATCCTAATAGCGATGGCCTCCACCCAAATAGCGATGGCCTCCACCCAAATAGCGATGGCCTCCACCCTAATAGCGATGGCCTCCACCCTAATAGCGATGGCCTCCATCCTAATAGCGATGGCCTTCAATCTAATAGCGATGGCCTCCAACCTAATAGCGATGGCCTTCACCCTAATAGCGATGGCCTCCAACCTAATAGCGATGGCCTCCAACCTAATATGGCCTCCAACCTAATGGCGATGGCCTCCACCCTAATGGCGATGGCCTCCACCCTAATAGCTATGGCCTCCACCCTAATAGCGATGGCCTCCAACCTAATAGCGATGGCCTCCAACCTAATAGCGATGGCATCCAACCTAATAGCGATGGCCTCCAACCTAATAGCGATGGCCTTCACCCTAATAGCGATGGCCTCCACCCAATAGCGATGGCCTCCACCCTAATAGCGATGGCATCCAACCGAATAGCGATGGCCTCCACCCTAAACTCAAATCGCGTTCAGTTGCGACTGGCTCGCCGGGCTCGCCCATCGAAAAAGGCCACCATCTCCGTCTCCCGAAGCCCAATATAATATATAAAGGACATTAAAGGACTGACCAATAAAGGCACCCCAAGGAAGATATGGGACGATCCACAGCTGCCTGGAATGTCATTGATTTATAATTCCACAATATTCCGATTTAACATTATTTAAACTAATTTCAACAAGAATATGAAGCTCTTCCAAAGCTGCCACCGGGCTGCCCGCTGCTGGGAGACCTTTCCTTTCATACCGCAGGCTACGCCGCCGCGACGGGTGGACTCGCCTTGGCGCACCAGGTGGACTCGCCGCAGCGTAGTGTGGCGATGAACCTGCGGGGGTTTGGGTGATCGATCGATAGAATGAGATGAAGAAAAGGACGATTTGTGCCCTTTAATTTCAAACTAAGTTTTAACATGTCTTAAATAAGTTTTATAAAATATAAGAACTGATGTTCAACCATCACTATCCATCACTCATCTCTTCCCAGAGCTCGAACATTGAGCCAAGCCCCAAAACCAGAAGTCCCAACCTTTGAATAGCTTCGATTGAACGAACCCGGCGATTCGCTGTTTGGAAGCAACGCCGCTCCGCTTCTGCTCGCCAGGGACCGCTCCGCTTCTTTCTCAGCCGGTTTCGACAAAGGAAAAACATCAAGGAACACCGTCGAACAGCTTGTCCGACTGGACTCAGAGGGACTCTATGGACGTTTCTGCATGTTTTTGCTGAGCCACAAACAACAAGAATACCCTAGCCTTCAAAAATCATATTAAAACATGGTTTACCTGGTTTTTGTAAATTCTTAATAAAACAATGGGTGTTCGGTAAAGGCTAGTAAATAAATGGTGGTTCATCTTCTAGAGAATATGTTTTAAAGATCAGCAGGAACTTCGTAAAACCATGCAAAATTGGAAAAAGCCTGTCAGGTTTGCAGTGAAGACTAATTCACAAGATTGCCAAATTCCTGTCACGCTGTCCCAACACACACTCACACGCATATGTATACGCACATACACTTACAGTATCCTTTCTTGATGTCAGTGTAGAGTCAACCTTCCTTGGGATTGCCTCCACTCACTCACCCCCCTCTCGAGCCCACGAATCGGTCACGGTCAATCCGGCCACACGGCACCGGCCTCATCGTGGCGAACATATCTTTCATCTGCATGCAGGCACGGGCCGCCGGCGGCGAAGCTAATGATCTGCTACCAGTTCTTATGATGTCCTACGAATTCGGGGCCAGAAGCCTTTGATACACTGGCTTCTTTTTGTTGCGATGTTTTGAGGGTGCGCAACGGCATCTTGCGGATTTGGGCGTGCTTGTTTTCTGAAGGGCGGCTCAAGGACGATGATCCACCAAAATGAATTCTGCGTCAGGCCGATGAGCAGTGCAACCCGTCTTCCCGAGCAGCCAAGAGCCTACTGTCCAAACGCAGCAGTAATTGGGCTATATAACTTAAACGCAAAAAAAGTAATTAACAAAGCAACTAACACTAACTATCAAATAGTAAGAACTTCTCCACACTCTCAAGTACAAACTTCTTGGACTTGTGGATTCGATCAACAATTGTTCAACAGCAATCACATCTGGACTCCCGGAACGCACATCGAAAAGCTCCAGAACCTCCTCGACAACAACACACCGCACCTCTCCAACCGTAGAGGTGGGTGTTGGCATGACCTGCGGCGTCGTCACCGTTGTCCCACCATCACCGTGCGGCAAGGTGTGGACCAAAGCGAAGCGGTGGGTCTTCAAACATTCAAGCAGCTTAAGGGTCCTAGAGTCCTACCTACATCTGACAAAGGTCACTGCAACCGATTTCTCACGTGTTTGACCTGATCTGATTGGCTGGCATCAGCAAGGGGGTCTGCACAGACATTCTTTCAATACAACCCGAACGAAACATCTTTCTCTATTGACCACCCTGACCATCTCCCCTTCCACCAGATCTCGCATGCTCTACTGGAGACTACAAAAATCCAATCTCATTATAATGGTAAATTATGTCTATTCCGCTGTATTCCGACAGAGAGACTCCCCCTGGCCCAAAATAAATGTCTTGAAATGAGGAGTCCAAGTGGAGGGTCCTCCCCTTCTTCAAACGACACATTTATTTGTAAATCCTTTGAGTGGAGGAGCATGTCCACTTTCTGTGAGCTGCCTGGGGGATAAAGTAAAAACCGAAGGATTCCAGGATCAACATCACCATACATCACCACAGAATAGATCACCTGATCAGTCAGCTGGCGTCAGCTGGCTCCGTGTCTCACTGGCTCAGGGCTCCCAGCGAAATGCTGGTGAAGCAACTTGGCCAATTCTCTTCGCACCTCGCTGACGGCTCTGGCGATGTCGAGCGATGAGCGATGTGGCGACGCTCCACGTGGAGCGCGGTGACACCGACTGTGGACCGCAGATGCGGGGGAATCAAGACCATCTCTATCAAATGAGGCTCCATCATGCAAATGAAGCTCCATCCAAGTGCCTTAGTGTTACGAGTCAAACAGATTAGTCATCTTGTAATGAGGACCAGGACTCCGCCAAATATGAAAACTGCACGAATCACGAATCTCAACCGAGTCCACACTGTGAGTCTCTGCGAGTCCTTCGGACCCGCCTCATCCGTCAAGACCGGATCGGCCCGGCAGAGGAAAGTCTCGTGGTTGGTGGGTTCAACTCAAACAAACATTGTGGTTGGTGGGTTCAGATGGGTTCATCGTGTTTCTCTCAAGCTAATTAGAGGCTTCATTATAACATAACATCAACACCTCCGTCGCCTCCGGGCAACCCCGGCCGAAGCTTCCGGTGGCACCTCTTCGGCCGCCCTGACGGAACGGGCCGTTTTTCTGCCCACAGACGGGTGGACAATAAAGAAAACCCTGACAGTAGCTAAACGTGAAAAAGACTTAACACACACACACACACGGTGATACACGGAATGAATATGTTTTCAAGCTATGGATTACTATTTATATTTGTTGATGATTGGGGTAATGGAGCTTATGTTTGTTTCCCATAAGATGGACCATATAAAGTACCGTTGTCTCTTGTTGAGGTAGAGAAATCGCCGGGAATTGCCCGAAGACTTCAAGGAACTGAAGCTATGTAAAGCGTCCGTTGGTTTCCATCGAGTTTGAGTCAGAGCAGCAAACCTCCAGGCCTTCAGGTGACCCAGCGGCATCTAGAAGGGCTCCCCAGAAAACAACAACAGCAACAACCTGCGACCTATTAAGGTGTAGCGTTGCTTTGCAGTCCAACTGGCTTCAGGAGTTCTGGATGATGAATCATCTCTAAATCACTAAGTAGTGGGATATGACAAGCTCAACTACACCTTTGTTTCTCAAGCCTAGACCTAGAGTTGTCTTTTGCGCCTGAAAACAAAAAAATCATCTGCCCTGCACTGCCCTGCTCAAAAGGTGAGCTCTGCACAATCACTGATTCCCAGTCCGTTTGTTAGCTTGGCAGTCAAGCACAGTTCTGGCAAGTAGGATCGTTTTTCTGATCGGGACATGGGACGCCAAATGCTGGGCAAAAGCAAACGACCAATCATACGTCTGACTGCACAAAGCCACAGCAATTGCGAGAGAACTGCCACTCACTTACAGTATATATATATATCATATACATAAAGAGAGAGAGAGAGAGAAAAAAAACAAAAACAAAAAGAGACAACTCATTAAGATTCAAGCCTTGGGCCCGACTTTCTTATAAAAGTCCTGCATCTTCACTGAAAGAAATGGTAGAAACGGGAGTTGGTGCTGATTTGATCCCTTGGATGGTCGTCTCACATCTCACGGTCGTGTCCAGCCTTGGCACGCTCCATGGGGTTCCGACCTTGGGCATGACCGAGAGCGTCCAGGGATTCGAAAGCTATAGCATTGAATACGAACAATGGCCAGGATAGCTGAAAAAACGATTGAATCCAAAACCGGAGTGCTTGAGATGACAAGACTCGAACTGGTCATCATCATCGTCGCATCACAAGCATCGACGGTCCAGGCTGAGAAAGGTGGTCGTGGAGTCCTTTCTTCTCCTCTTCGTGGCCTATTGAACTGGGGGTTCTCACTTGGTTCTGTTCAACTCCTCCAAAGTGCTGCTGGAATTGAGCATGTCTTCTTTCCTTACCCTACACCCTACACATGATATTGAAAATTTTTAGGGCGAGCAAACATATTTAGTCATCCTGGCAGACCAGTTTCCAAAGTTGCTTACAACTGATAACAAAAGTGTTAAAATGTGTTAAACATATATTCAGCCTGGGCCTGGACCTATCTACAGTATTTGGCATGACCTTGTCATAAGGTATCATCAGTATTGGAAGTCTTGACTATAAAGAGCTGAGTGGTGCCCACAAAAGACTTGAATGTGCAGCAAGTGTCTTCCCTTCCTCTGCCAACATCCTTCGCAGCAACACACAGCTTTCATCCTTTTTCTCCGAACCAAAGATGTCCGGGTTGAAACCAGCACTGGCAGCTGCTCAAGCAACAGCTGACTGCCCACCGACGTTTCGTTCTTGTGGATTCTGTGCCATTCAAAGCAGCCGAAAAAGACGAGAAACCGTTCGACGCAGCTAAAACATGTTTAGCTGAAGGTTGTGATCTACGCTCGGATCTGATCCAGACCTAAGGTACTTCCCGACATGGTCAACCCAAACCACGGCCAATGATGGCGCTTCTGTAAACAGCAAGGGGGAGGGTCCATCAATGATGCATTCAGACTTGCAGGAGTGGGACTTGGAATCCTTCGCCACAGAAGTGGAGGCTCCACAGAAGATCTGAGGTAACTCAGCACAAAACCCAAATGTATAATGTCACATTTGCGGAGTCAATCTCGCCCGCTTCTCAGGTAGGACAGGAGGATGAGCAAGCACCCAACGAGCGATCGATGGGCAAGAAAAAACGTGAACGACGCAAAGAAAATACCCCTGCCCATTATTGTTTTTTGGCGTTGGCAAGTTGGCCCCCAAGCACCAAAAATGTCGGATGACTGAACAACACTGAACAAACACCGAACACTATGACCGGAATAAAACCACAAAACACTGTGAGGTGATCATATCAATCACAGAAGTTGCAGGAATTCAGCAAATTGTTTGATCTCCTTATACTTTTACATCTATCTCAATTCTGTCTCTTCTAAGCTTCAGGATGGACTCTCCACTAAATCCTCAGCACCGCCGACTTGGCAATCGAGTTCCAATTCCATGATTCTACTACAGTTCTACTCACATGCAATAGATTGAGTAGATGGCACGGTCCCTTCAAGCCCTCCCCGACAGTTCCAAGCTGGTCCGACAGCTTTGTCACCTGGTGACCTGTACCTCTACGTTGCAACATGCTACACACTCCCTGAAAGCCTGAAAGAAAGGTTGCAAACACTTCTTGAAGCAAACCCCTGCTTGGGAACCTGGTGAAATCACCATCGCTCGCCGCCTAGTGCCTAGCTGCGGCCTCCTGCCCCCAAACGCCGTCGCGTGTGCGCGCGAAGTCTAGATGAATTCAGAAGCAGTCAATCTGATCCTGTCACGGCAAAGGGCCTTTTTCCTTTGGATCACCAGTCTGTGTTCTGGAGAACGAGGGGGCGGGATTGACAGTGTACTCTCTTGATGCAACATGATGCAACCCCACTGATTGGGAGGCTCTTTGAAAACAACAGCGCTTCTTTACTGAGGGGATGATGCCCTTGGATTTCCGCGTGCCCAATCTCGAAACAAAAAATGCAGAATCCCAAACCATGATCCTTCTGTGACGATGGTATCTTACATGTCCAGATCTGCCTGCTCCACCATGTTACAATTCTGCTGTTGGATGTGAATGGCAAACATCAATGGCCAATTGATGTCAATTGTACTTGGACCAGTCCCATCCAGTGTGCACCCTGGACCATTGCCTCTGCTCAAAGCCCGGTCTTGCTGCGGCCAAAGGGATTCCACCCTTTGCGCCTGGGTCAAAGCAGCGAGTTTCAGCAAATCCTGGACGTAGCCAAACACAAAATAAGAAACACACCATGGTCACCATTGGCTTTTCAAGATGTTTATAAAACAAATTGTAGATTCAGCTCACAACTTGAGTTCTTTTCTTCCCAACGAGAAGAATTACACAGCAACAAACTCGAATAACTTCCATGCACAACCAACGGAGCTTGCCCCCAATAGAAGAACCGGTCAGATTTTTTCCACAGTTCATGTGTACATCAAATGGTGAGTGGGTGGATGAGTATGTGGTACACCCCCTTGAAGTCGTCCCTCCGTGGACCTTCTGAAAGGTGCCAAGAGGCTCGCGCCGCTTCTTGATGGCCTTCCACACGACGATGGAAGGCACCGAAAGACAAAAACCCTCAAGTCGGTCCCTACATTGCAAAGCATCTGAGCTTGGATCTTTGGGAACTAAATTTTTCTTTCTGCTGCCAAGGCACACGAAAACACATATTATACAGTGAGGTCATGGGTATAGGCGGTATTGGTGAAAGGATTACAAAAAAAGGACACCCTGAGGAAAGTGCTTGTTTGGCACTCCCACCGTGCGAGGAAAAAGAAAAGTAACTTATAATGATCAGGAACTTGGATTAAAACATGTTAAAACTGTGGCACCGATGGCAAATAAAACACACAAATAACACATGTAAGCAACGACCGCCTTTCAATGGCGGGATATTCGAAAACAGTCTGCTTCGAGCTTCGAACAATAGCTGATTTTGTTGGTTCACAGTTCACAGAGTTGATGAAAGGAGTATTGTGGGTGTTTATTACTCCAGCACATGTCAAGCTCCGTCCATTTCCTGGGACGAGGTCTGTGGAACACCGGTGGAACTCACCAAATCAACATACCGTAGGAGTCTAACCAGCACCACTGTGCCACCGCGCGACCGTCTGGAATAATTGTATAACACGAGGAGGAAAACACAATGTTAATCAATGTGCACACTTCACAAAAACACAAACACACCATGGTCTTGTTCTCCCTCAAAAGGTTTTCCGCGTTGTTTATGCAATCCTGTAAAATGCATCACATACGAGAACGACCGGCAACACAAACTGGGAGTTCAACCACCACAAAAGCGCGCAAGAAACACAAACAAACAATATGTTTCATATTGTATATACATACAGGCTCATCTAGCTTGAACCGGGTGTCTTCCAAATAGCAAGTGGGTGTTTGATTTGGAATAGAACCTTGTTGTCAAGTTTCTTGCTGGCTCGGTTAAAAGCATGTAACGCAGCCATGTAGTTTATTTGGTGCAAAGAGCTCTAAGAATGAGGCAACATCCACATGCGCCTGATACACTCAAGACTGACCTATATATACAGTCATGGAACTTCAAGAATTTAGATTTCGTCGTAGTGGGCAGCCATGCCAGCGTGGAGATATGATGATGATGGAGACGTTACGTGTGAAGAGTCTGCAGAGACCATCTCCTTCCTCACAACCACGAACATAATCCACCACTTCTGGCGCCACAGCCAAGCACCACTATTTCAAAAGTTTTGCGCCACATTTTGATAGAGCTTTCGCTTCAAGATTTTTAAAGCACTTGCATGGAGAACGTGGACCTGTTAGAGCTGCAAAAAGAAAGGCTTGACTTTGACCGGGACGTTGCAACTTCAATAGGTCCAACTCGTACTTCACACTATTTGCCAGATCTTTCTCGACCCTCTGCGGAGTCATTTGTTGATGTAGGTCTGTGCGGCCCCGAGGATTGCCTGAGCCAGCTGGAAGCACCAACCACTGCGCTTATATGCTGATTGCTCAATATGCCCAGCTTGGACGTGAAACTTTCTCGGTTTGACATTTACCTTGTATTGGTGCTCAGGAGCGGAGGCTCAACGATCTTGGATTGGAAGATTATAATTGGAGCAGTCGGATGCAACCCCCTGAAGCTTGTAGGTGCAATGTGCGCCCGAAGCTTCAGTGCCTTGCGCCCGGCCAAGCTCGATCAATGGGGCCTTGCAGGAATGAATGAGTTGGAGACGGAAAACCCGTCACAATTTTGCCAGCCAAATTGATTTGGCCGGGAAAACCCGTCACGTTTCAGACCGGGGCCCCAGCCCCAAAATGATTGAAAAACCCGTCGCAATTAAATAAGGAAAACGAAAACCCGTCAAACTTTCCAGCTCATCCCCAACTTCAAAAAGTGATGGGTTTTTCCAAAACCTATGGAATTGTGATGGGTTTTTTAAAAAACCCGTCGCAATTTGACCAGCCAAATCCATTTGGCCGGGAAAACCCGTCACAATTTGACTAGCCAAATCCATTTGGCCAGGAAAACCATGGAAAACCCGTCAAAATATAGCCAGCCAAATCTTTTTGGCCAGGAAGACCTCGAACACTTGGTATACCTAGGGTCCAACCGCTTTGCACTTGGAGTAATGAGGTGTTGCAAAACCTGTTTGGCGTAAAGGACTTGTCACGATTTTACTGTTAAATTGTGTTGGTTCAGTAAGGACACCTCAGTTTCCAACAAAGACCAAAGCAGAAGGGCCGGGGCTTTGAGCTGGGTGCGCTTAACCTTGGTAGGCTATTTGACTGCCAGCTAGCTGGCAGCCGGTGTGCTCGTTTACTGGCAGCCACAACCTGTTTGAGTTTGTGGTGTGTGCTTCTTGAAGCTTTAAGCTTCTGGAGGGCTTTAGGACGAGGTGAGAGTTGTTCGAGTAAAACGGTCGCGTCCGTTGAAGGTTGCCTTGAAGCTTCGTGATTCTTAGAGCCGCAACTTGTTGAGGCGATGTGGTAGCGGGGGGACAATATCGCGTCACATGGACGATCAAAGTGAAAAATAGCATAAGCGAACATTTACCTTTTGACCTGCTGGCTTGGTTGCAATGTGCGCATGGAGCCTGGTAATTGAACTTGGTGCTATTTGCTATCATTATGGTTTTGAATGGGATGCCACGTGATGCGTGCAAGTGCTGATTGTTTGCAAATTGCAGCAAATTCTGCGAGTCCGTGGAAAAAGCTGCCAGCTTGTGCTTTGGAGTCTACCGGACGGGTAGAAATTTGGACACCCACTCGCTATTTGGAGGACACCCGGCTCAGGCTAGATGAGCCTATACGTTGTATCCAACTCCATCTCAAATGGCCATCCCCACCCTCGCTTCCTTCGGTGAACCCAACCTGCTTTATAAGAGTCTTCCCATTCTACGGCGAACCGACCATAACAAATCAAAACGTGTGGCGAGTAGCTGCAGTGGCAAGGCTCACGCGTTCTCGCGAGGAAACGCGTTCTCCGTGGCCTCAATCTTCGAGGCATTCTCCTTGGTTCGTTTCTCCAGGTCTTTTCGCTGCGCCTGTTGGTCACGTGGCGGTGCCCGGAGTGAGTGAGAACGAACTTTCGGGAGGTTAGCGAACGAAAGGAAGAATCGAAAGGCTGAGCTAGATAAACTGCATCTACCGTAGATCGGCCCCATTGGTTGAGGGGTGCACTGCAATATCAATGGTGGAGACTCGATGTACCTTGATGGATGAAAAGCATATGAAAGGACTCCTGCCAACGATGGATCCCCTACACTTGAGCACTGCATAGATTTACAGTGGTTTTGATCCTTCTCCACAGTGGTTTACTGTTGTAGATGGAATGCTTTCTTAATTGATGGATTGTTGTTGCTCCCCACAGGCTTGAGAGTGGAGAAGCCTCTGCGAGAACCGCTCCACTCACGGGCTCATGTTCAAAAGCTTCTGCCCACAAAAAGTAGTGATGGGGACGGAACAATTCCTGTAATTACATGACATAACCAGGACTCCATCTGGCTGCGCATCAAGCCCTGGCCGCCCCAAATGCACAAAGCAGTCAGGCTCAGGAAATGTTTGCTACTTCAAGTTATATATTATATATATATCCTTAAAATTGCTGAAACAACTGACATACTTGAGGTTTGAGGTTTGCTGGCTTGAGTGGCTATCTAGTTCGAGAATCGGGTTTGCGCGACCAATGCGACCTGTCGGTTTCCGGGCCAAGCCTGATCAAATGCACACATGTCTATGACATAGTCTTCTTGGGGGAGGTTCACTTACAGTCACATGCTCCTGTGACCCAGCGACATGACTACCCTCGTGTCCTGTAATTACCGATGTTATTTCAGAAGCACCTGCATAGTACGCCTAGCCGCCGTTGGTGTTTCTTGTGAAACAACCCAACCCCTTATCATTGTATGTTCACTCTTCTATATACAATTTCCCGCCATCTGGTTCCTTCCATGAGCTGGGTATGAATCACCACTCTCAGAACCTACAAACTGGATGCCATGGGGGCACCATTTTACACTCAGAGTGACATTGGTCCCAATACTTCATGTATAGGTGACACCAGTGTATTCTACTCTGAACTGCCAGTGACATTGGGCACTCCGAGTCACCGGCGCCCTTCGACCCACCACGACCCGTCACCATCCTCCGATCCTCCAAGAGTTTGCTCTCTTGTTGCACCTCGTTGATTTGGGCCTCCGGAAAGGCCAGGGGGAAGGCATCTGCGTGTTGTTGTTAAGGTCTTGAAAAAGGGAGTGCTTTGACTTGGGCCGGGGAGAGATTTTGTTGGAACACTTGGGCGCCGTCTTTGACGATGTAGAACCATCTGAGATGATGCCAACAAAGGATGTGAACGGGTGTGGAGGGTCAAACTGGGACCGAATATTATACCCTGATCTGGATCTGATCTAAGGGGTGTGGTCAAACTCTTATTAACCAAGAACCTGTTGGTCCATGAACATTCTTGACCTTGACTTCGATATGACCCTGTTCCTATGAATCTTGACATGCTTGTTTTACACTCTGATTAGACACTGTTCCAAATTGATTGCTAAAAGCTCTTCATAGGGAGACCAGTTGAGACCTTGTTAGGCATGAACAGCATTCAACACGCGTAAAGTCAGCTCCATGATGGAAACTCGTAGTTACAAGCAGCTGCACAGATTCTTCAACGACGGACCCAATCAACTAATCAACCAAACCAGCCAACCAGAAAAAAAACGACCCTCCTGCCGCGCTGTCCTCAGCGCTCTTCAGCTCCTCCTGTTTGATCTTCAGCTTGTTCTGGTGCGGAAAGCGTGCGGTGGAATCCAAGATGCACTGGCGTCATCTGGCGTCTATTTTCTAAGGGTGAGGATTTGGGACGTGCCGCAAATGAGAACGTGTGAGAGCCCGGATCCTTTGCACCACAGTGGGCACAAGTTTAGGTGGTGCTTTCATTCGGTTTTGTTAAGAATGCCTATGCATTTCTAGTAAGAGTTCTCATGGAGGTACACTGGAGAGCAAACAAGATCGTCAGGAGACAATTTTGTGCGGGTCATATCAGACTCCATTCTAAAAAGTAACCCAAAGAGCATTGGATTTCTTCCCAGAATCCAGACATACACTTAAGACACAACACATATTTTATGGCCAATGTTTTTATAATACCATCATGGAGCTTGTACACAATATTCACCAGAAACTGTACGTATATGAAATCTGGATTCGCTGGCGTTTGCGTTTGCGCTGGCGTTTGATGAAACCAGTCGCTGTGCTGGTTCCACCTTAGCCGCAACCTCTGGATGTTCTCTCGCCCGTTAGTGACTGCGCGTCAGGCCTCAGCATCTTTCAAAGCCTTCATGTAGATCTCCTGCGCAACCGGGTGCACAGTTGGAGGACAAGAGGTCCTTTTGCTGGCAGAATAATTTTTTGATCAAGCAAACTACTTCATCCGTGTGGAGGAGCACAATACCTCAACAATATGGAGGCTTCATGAGGCTTCAGGGTGTGTGTGTGTGTGGTGTGGAATTTAAAACAATTCACGAGATAGTGCATATGTATGGGGTAGTGAAAACGTCGCCATTCACAAGGTCTTGCAACAGAGTAGTTACAATGTAGTACATAGCTGATGATGTGTCACCTTCCGCGCAGCACCCAGCGTTCTCCATCCTTCTCCACGAGGCTCCGCTCACACTCCGCCCGTAGTTTCCGTGCCACCACCGAGGGGCGGGAGGGCGACATATCTGCAAGCAGGCTTGGAGGTCAAGACGTGGTGCCGTTGAGGTCAAGACGTGGTGCCGTTGATGAACATCCATATAGACAAGGGTCTAAGGTTTTGAGGGACAGGGTTTGGTCTACTTGGTCTCTAGGGGGCACCAAACCAGCAGCAAAGCAGCAGCAGAAATGCAGCGGCAGCAAGCCAGCAGCTGACCAGCAGCAAACCGGCAGCAAACCAGCAGCAGCCACACCAGCAGCAACAACAACAGCGCACCAGAACAGCAGCCGACCAGCAGCACATCAACAGCACAACAGAAGCAAAATAGCAGCAAATTGCTAGCTGACCAGCACACCAGCAGCATACGCTGCGGCCAAAGTCTACAAGGCATTGCCCGAAGCGACCCATAAGCTTGCAGAACTACAGTACGCCAGCAATCCAGCACACATCAGAAGCAAGCCGGCAGCAAGCCAGCAGCGGCAGCAGCTTCAGATCCACGGGGTTTTCGTGTATACAACGGGTGTCTTGAAGCCGCTGTCCGAAAAAAACTTTGCGTACGCAAAAAGGATCTCTGACAAACACCTTCGCTTCATACTCTTTCATGGGGTACCGTTGGGTCAGGGATGACACCTGCATCATCTGAAGTCAGGAAGTTAAGTGTTTTACACGCACCTTGGGTTCCCAGCCGTGTCCCAGAAAATGCATCATACATAGTCATAGTAGATCATAGTAGCTAATTTGCTACTAGTAGCTAGAAGCTACAAGGTTGGAGGCCATCGCTATTAGTTGCTAATTGGCTCCTAGTTCCAATGATATGATTTACATACCCTTTCACATGTCTCTTCAAGACATGCGGGTACTCACTAGCCACACCGCACCCGGAGCACTGGGCGTTTGCCATGACTGTCTAAACGTTCTCCAGTTGCTCGCATATCTAAGCCATCAATCAGGGATCAATGAGTGTGGGCTAAGAATCTCTGTTTTTCCTTGGATCTTGGAAGCTCTTTTTGGAATCTCTTTGAAGCGCCTTCGGCGTTTGGCCCCTTTGTCCGTTTCGCCGAAAACGTGTGCCGTTCACCCCTTCGGTGACGGCTTCCCGCCGGCGCCTCCGGTCTCGGTGACTCCTTTCACCACGGCGCCTCCGGCGGAGAAGAATGCGCGCCGCCGGGAACAGCGGAGCTGGGCAGGGTCGGCTGGAGGGTCCAAGCCAGCAGGGTCGAAGCCAGAAGGGGAAACGGGAAAAAGCCTCGTAAATTTCTAGGAAGACCTAGTGCGTGATTGCGACTGGACCTCCAAAAAAGATCTAAAATGTAAAGCCTCCCTCAAATGGTGTGTGTATCTCCCTGCATAATCATAAAGTTGTAAGGTCCTACTGTTGATGTGCTTCCTTGTAATTTAAACAACATGATTTTGAATCGGGGATACCGATACCAAGAAAACGTCCTTTCCTTTCACCTACCTTTCCTATCCTTTCCTCCAGTGGTACTTGGAGGGATCAACGTTTTGGTGGGGGGGCAAGCTACCAGATACTCTTCCTCAAGGAAGGACTGGAGTTCCTGGGCTTTCATCTGCTCCGAGCTCCAAGACTTCAAAAACCACCTTTTCAAGGACCAAGGGATGAGGGAACTTGATGAGTGCGAAACGGTGAGACGGCACTACAATGCTCTGCCGAACGGTTGTTCATGGTCATTCTATTGGACAGATACTTTACGACTGCCCGGACAAAAGTTTGTACGATCCTGCTCTGGCAGACTTTGTTGTGAAAGTGGGAGCACAAGTCTCAGGACCCAAGAAATTTGTGCATTCGTGCACAACATCATGCATCATATGCAAAAATAGCACTAAGCTATGTGGTACTTGTAGTATACACTGTATATTTTACAGGCAAATATTGCTGCTAAAATGCAACAAAAAGCCCTGGGGCAACATCTGCACCTTGTGATATTTCTGAAATGATCCACGTCATTTTATCTACCATGCCACTGAATGCCTAGGACGTCTGATGTCCAGTCCCTTGAAGCCCTTTTCGGCCCATCCGATGGGAAGGAGGGGCAACCGATGAGCATCGCCAGTGGGTTCACCCACAGTGGCTTCATCACTGTGCCCAAACGGAAACGGTGATCGATACCCCAAACAGAAATCCAATCTTTTTGCATCTCTGAGCCAAACAACCCATTTGGATCCACTTGGTAAGCATGGCTGGCGCCTGGATCTAGCAGGCTTTGCAAGCTGGCATCCCAACTGTGCATGATCTGTAAGATACTGTAGCGGCTATCTCCAAGTGACTGGCAGTTTCCTTCAGTTTTTTCCTGGCCCTGAGTTGGTCTTAATTCTCATGGCTTTTATGTCGCACAAAACACAAAGCAAAACATAGGAACATACATGCATTCAGAATCTAGAAAATGCAACTCCGACTCTACTCCTGGCTTTTCGCCGCTTCCGTTTCACATAGTCCGTACCCAGCAGCCCTCGGTCGCCTTTGGCCTCAGGATATCCTGCCGCGTCACCTGTAGATGCAGTGGCAACGGAATATCTCCATTTTGTCCTGTCCATATGCATGTGTATGTAATACGTTAACCTTAATACATGCATGTATGTATGTATGCATGTATGTACGTATGTATCTATGTATGTATGTATGTATGTATGGAGGGAGACAGCACTAAATAGTATTGGTTTATGTATAGACATATTCAATCATATTCATAGATGGGAATAGTGTCAAGACTCCCAGGAGGTGTTCTCGAAAAGATTCAAAAGCTAAAGAAGCATAGCCAATATCACCGATGCCTGAACTTTGGAGGCATTCTTTCCAACAATGGGAGTGGTATATATTTAACCCCCACCAGTCTTCAAAACAAAGAAAACAACAAATAGCAGGTTACGCAGCGTTTACGCAGTACATATCACATGATGTATATCGTGGTGTCCACTATAGTGACTGCTTGACAATGTTTTAAGTTTTGACATAAAGGTCAAACAGTAAAGAAAGAGTCGCGAGCCGGGACAGAATCGAGTCCAAGCAAACAGTTGGGTTTGTTCAAAACATTTCAACACCCTTTGTGCCGTGCCAAGATCATCCTGTTCTTGACGGGCTAGAGCTCTACTGATGTGGACAACTGGGAATCCCAGCAGCGATAAAACCACCAGAGTGCCAGCTTGCAGGGATAAACAAAGCTGGTTCTATTGCGCTCTCTTGCGCAAAGGAACACGACACCAAGCCACAAAAAATGAATTGACCAAGTCCCAAGTCCAAAGTCTCACGCATAGACTCATAGACCAGAGCTGTCGTTATAGGATAAAGACATACATAGAAGGTTCTTACAAGTAGCCAGAACTTACGAGCACAAAGCAGAAGACATAGACCAGAACTTCCTCACCGTACTCCATTGCCCACAAAAACACCGCCCAACAGTTTGCCCTTTAACGACCAGTCACCCAAGCGACCGTCCCCGCCTTGCTCTGTTTGCAAATGCCTGGGGCAGCTGAAGCAAAAACGCTAGTGAAAACCCTTCCAACAAACGGTCGTTCAAGCTTGCGCATAGCATGGCACACATGTCAGAGGAATTAAGGCGTCCTGGAAGTGACCTGGAAAAACGTCACCAGTGGTTCTCAAGTCATCTAACTAGCCTCCTGAAGTGCGTGAAGATCAAACCGATGGTCCAGGACAACGTGCTACATGACGTCACATGGTTTGTTGCATCATTGAGTGTTGCACAGAAACACTAAGGTCTTCTCGTAGCCGTTCATATCAAGATGCCCCAGATATATTCATCTGCCTCTTGTTATCCTGCATGTCTTTGAGGTCTGCCACACTCTTCTAGTTTGATCGACAGCTTTCCCATCGGATTAGCTGTAAATCCACGTGAATCCCCACTGCCCTGGGCACCGCCTCGTAATAAAGCTGTGAGCCATGGCATCTCGCACTTTCAAACGATCCACAGGGGCTTTCCTCCGGAAGACGACGTTCCGTTTTGATCGGCGCATGCGACATTCCCTCCAGAGGAAACAGTAGGTGCTACCTACCCAAGAAACAGGAAGTGGAGCGCCCACCGGCTTGTGGAGGTTAGCATCCTTAGGAGGAACTTGAACTTTTTTTGGGGGGATAGATGTGTTTCTTTATGTCTTTCCCTTATATATAGAGGCTTTCCCTCCTTCACGAAAAAGCCAGCCGGCGCCACCAGTGCTGGCTGGCATATGCTGAGCAAGCAAACGGAGCCAACTGCACAACAAAATCAGCAGCAAATCACAAATCACAAACCTGCAATTCAAGGGCCCAAGGCATTTGAATCGTTTATGTCTATGTGTATATGTGTATATTATTGTATAATTATTGTTGTAAATTATCTATATATGGAGAGAGAGAGAGTGTGACTCGGAATCATCCAGTTTCACCCTATCAAACGGACACCAAAACACTATGTGCAAATGACAGGGGAACCCCAAACCAATCCCACCAATGCCTATTCCTGTCCGCTCAACATGAGACAACCTTGGTCGCTCCTGCAAAGCTGCGAGATCAGGTTCCTGCCTTGGTGAAATGATCCGACCGACCGAAATCGCCGCTCTGAGAGAACCCAGCGGACCAAGCACCGTTGTAAAAAGACATAAATACTGTTGTGTCTGTAGAGTTTGTGAACAACACCTCAATACTCATTGCCAAACCTGTGAAGGATTGGACTTTGAGGCCAATGGGGCCCCCGAATAGCTCACACATTTTCAAACGCCCTCCTTCCCGCCACGGACCAAGCACCTCCTTTCAAGTGGGCTGTAGGACTTCCTGAATCGAAGGGGTTCTTCTTGGGACCACCAACCCCTTCAACACCCGCCCCTCAGCAGTTCAGACCTCTGCCAAAAGGACCCTTAGATACCCTTAGTGCCCGTATATGACACCTGTCGCCGATCCGATCACAAACACCCGCGCCGATCCGGTTTGGGGCACCCAGGCCGTCGATGTCCAGCTCCGGCGGAAAGTACAAGTTCACCGTCAAGATGCTTTTGCACGTGGTCTCCTTCGAACAGGACGTTGTTCGGCATCTTTTATGTGGGAAAAAAACACGCTTCAACCATGGGGCGAGGAGATGTACCAGCTCGCAGCGAGCTTGGTGCCGGTGTCCAACAGGCCCTATGGCCTGTTGGAATCGTGGGCCGTAGACACAACAAGAACAAGAACAAGAATAATAAGAAGAAGAAGGAGAAGAAAAAAAAAGAAGGATAATAATAAATAGAACAAGAAGGAAAAGGAGAAGAAAAACGAGAAGAAGAACAGCAACAACATATCACTGGGTCAGTTACTCTTCCTCCTCTCCTTGAAACAGGGCAGGAGAAGCTGAGGGAAAGGTGCTAGGACGAGCTGTTTGTGGATATGCGTGTCTCTTTTTGTTAAAGTGATCAGTATGTATGGATGATGGACTTGCGGTAGGTGAAGAAGTGTGGACCCTCAACTTCTCTATGAGACCTGGGCCGCTCCTAAATCCTAGGCGCTGGATGGTGATGTGCAGCAAACTTTTTATCACTTCGATCGAGCTTGAGGGGCAACGGAATGACAGGGCATTCTAGGTTTCTACAGTTTCACTTTAAGGCCTCTACTTTTCAACAAGTACAGCAATCTAATAGTAATAGAAAACTGCGATGGAGAGGTTTGACACGTACCTGGAAAGCTATATCCAATATGAATTCCCTTCCTTCGTCGCGAATCATGTCGCAAACTGTTGGACAAGAACTGGTCCTTGCTGGAGGAACCAAATGGGGACCTCGCGTGGCGCGAGCGGGACAGATGTGATAGAACAAAGAACTGTTATATAATGTCTCAAAAGTATAAGGAGTTAAAGGTCAGGAAGTGTGATAGATAACAGTTACAACCAAGTAGGGTGGAAGTTTAAGCTTCATATAATGGTTATTAATATCTCTAATTAAAGCTACAGTAAAAAAAAACACCCCTACAGTAAATTCACTGCAAGCTCGGGTGTGGGTCTGCCACGAGAAAAAGAACACCAAACAAAGGGCGCATCTCTTCCAGGATCTCCACACTGGAAGATGAGGTTCCTCTACCACACCAGTTTTATTGGAGCATGAGCAAGACGATGTAGGCTTCTTTGCAAGGGGGGATGACCTGGTTTCCCTCTGCGAGACATATTGGACCAAGCAATGTGGAGTTCCACCTGGGAATCTTGGAAGTGGGTCGTCATGCCTATATAGTTGTAAGACAACACAACTAAGAATTAAGTACATCGGACTCCCTATGGCCTTTGGATTTTCCCCTGTCATGTTCTAAGCGCAAATTGCCCAGTCGTCTAGTTGCCATGTACACCACCCGGAGATGGTTTTACCCGGTGGCAAGTCCTTGCCGAGATGCTGTCCTGTCAGGAGCTCATAGAGCCTGAGTCGCCCAGAGTTGGACGGGCAGCAACTGACGACCGGTGGGCATCGGTTTCCCATGTGTACAACAGGGACAGCAGCTTCCCGGTCTGGGTCGTCTTGGGACATGTCATTATTTCTTCTGTACTGGTCGCCAGGTCTGGAGGAAACATAGACATAGACTCAGGGAAATCATGGTGCTTTGGCCACGACCGGACCATCGGCGAAAAAATAGAACGACAAAATCCCGAGAAAAAAACACGAAAACCCAGGGGTTTTAGCACGAAAACACGGTCCTTTGTTAACGCAAGAACATGTTGCCACTCTTCCACTTCCACATCGACCCCGGACCCTGAAGACGTAAAGGCGTCGACCCTTATTTAGGCCTCGGTGACTCCTGAGAGAAGTACACATCAAACTAGTGAGTGGTACTTTCCTGGATTTTGAAGTCTAAGTGAGAACAAGAATGGCCGTGTCAAAAGCAATTGACACGCAAGTACTGATGCAAGTATGCTCAGTTGATCCAACAATCAACCTTGATCAACCTTGGTATACTTGTGTTCCGCACAGCCATGCACAATTTGTCTAAACAGCGAAAAGGGAGAAGGATTGTCAAGATCTGGTGTCAAGTAACTGTTAAGCCCAAGGTTGCCAAGGTACGCCTCAAACAAGCAAAGAAACAAACAAACATTCAACACACTTCGACATTGGTTTTCAGTTAACTCTGTTTCCACGATAAGAAGGAAGGTGGTGGAACAGCAAGGCGAATGGGTCCAGTCACTTGAAATGTTGAAAAATGTTTCCCTCGGTCTGCTGAGAAGCGCGGTGTCGAGCGATCAACGCGGCTGCACATCTGCGGTGGAAAGGTGGGTTTAGGGGAGGAAGCATGAAACACCATGGAAACAAAAAGCGAGAGTGGACAGCTTGTCATTAGTTGAAAAGGCAGGTACGTAGTTCTGGCGTCCCAGAACTATATCACTGTGCGACAGATGCGTCTTCGTTGGCTGGAGACATCTGAAGCACACTCCAGCGGCCGCCTGCATTAGTCATATATATCATTATTAATATATAAACCAACACAGGCGGTGCAAGCTGACACACACTTTGTCGTTGCCAACGGAAGATTCATCAAGATCTCAAATCACGTCTGTTCCACTGATCCGGTGATTCCGGCTTTGTCCGCCTCACCCTTGACGATTGAAATCGCATACGTCTTTTGGGCTTGACAAATAGTCTTTGCCACGCCAATGTCCACGAGATGAGGGCGCCTGCTTACGACAGAGCAGGTCAGCGGGCAGACTTCCAGCAAAATCTGTGATCCTGGAGTATTGATCGAGCTCTCCCAGTACATCAACGGCCTGTTAAATAGGAATGCTAAGCTGACCGTCGGCTGGAGAGCCTTGCTGGTACAAATCTTGTAAGCGAGGCCTTCATTGCTAGCGAAATCCGATCCATCCTGAATCAAGCCATAGATCAGAATTGAAACGTCCAAACTGGACTGAAAGCTGCTGATTGGCCTCCGGATGTACTTGCCCAGGAATTCGTCCCCGGAGATGGCTGCTGCTGTTTGGAAACAACAGCTCCAAACTCGAAGACTCCCACAGCAGAAACCATCAAAGCTTCTGCATGAATCCGAGCGATCAACTCGTTCAGATCAGCGGGAGTTTCGGGCATCAGCGAGTTCTCACGGAACTCACTCTGAGGAGTGTCCTGATGGCGAGTATACATGGCCTTGTACGCATCGAACCTTCTCACGGCCCTGTTCCCCTGCTTGAACTGGGAAAAACAGTTGAGTGAAGTAACCCTTTGAGACAGGGCTGGACACACACACACAAAATGCCGCTATCGGCGCAAGTGAAGCGCGGTGGATGGACTCTTTTCAAAAACCGTCTGCAGGCTGCAGGGTCATGCCCCTTTTGGACATAAAGGCGTATCAGCTTAACGAAGGCAACTGTACATCCTTGAAACTCGAAGATCCTCATAACGAATTCGGCAACATGCATGAAAGCTGCCATGAAGAACATGTCATGACAAGCATCAAAAGTACAAGCTGGTAGTTGCAGTCTGTGATATTCCATCGTATTAGCCCGGCGGCTCAAAGTGCAGTGAATTGAGGGTGGAGAAAGAGCGGTGAGGAAAATTCGATGAAAAAAAACGATGATTCAGTAACACGATTTCCGGCATGCAAACGGCGCCTCCTTGCGGAGGATCACACCCTGCAGCACCCACGTGGGACGGCTGAGCGGCTGACACTTCGACATTGGTTTTCAGTTAACTCTGTTTCCACGATGAGAAGGAAGGTGGTGGAACAGCAAGGCGAATGGGTCCAGTCACTTGAAATGTTGAAAAATGTTTCCCTCGGTCTGCTGAGAAGCGCGGTGTCGAGCGATCAACGCGGCTGCACATCTGCGGTGGAAAGGTGGGTTTAGGGGAGGAAGCATGAAACACCATGGAAACAAAAAGCGAGAGTGGACAGCTTGTCAACAGTTGAAAAGGCAGGTACGTAGTTCTGGCGTCCCAGAACTATATCACTGTGCGACAGATGCGTCTTCGTTGGCTGGAGACATCTGAAGCACACTCCAGCGGCCGCCTGCATTAGTCATATATATCATTATTAATATATAAACCAACACAGGCGGTGCAAGCTGACACACACTTTTTCGTTGCCAACGGAAGATTCATCAAGATCTCAAATCACGTCTGTTCCACTGATCCGGTGATTCCGGCTTTGTCCGCCTCACCCTTGACGATTGAAATTGCATACGTCTTTTGGGCTTGACAAATAGTCTTTGCCACGCCAACGTCCACGAGATGAGGGCGCCTGCTTACGACAGAGCAGGTCAGCGGGCAGACTTCCAGCAAAATCTGTGATCCTGGAGTATTGATCGAGCTCTCCCAGTACATCAACGGCCTGCTAAATAGGAATGCTAAGCTGACCGTCGGCTGGAGAGCCTTGCTGGTACAAATCTTGTAAGCGAGGCCTTCATTGCTAGCGAAATCCGATCCATCCTGAATCAAGCCATAGATCAGAATTGAAATGTCCAAACTGGACTGAAAGCTGCTGATTGGCCTCCGGATGCACTTGCCCAGGAATTCGTCCCCGGAGATGGCTGCTGCCTGTTTGGAAACAACAGCTCCAAACTCGAAGACTCCCACAGCACAAACCATCAAAGCTTCTGCATGAATCCGAGCGATCAACTCGTTCAGATCAGCGGGAGTTTCGGGCATCAGCGAGTTCTCACGGAACTCACTCTGAGGAGTGTCCTGATGGCGAGTATACATGGCCTTGTACGCATCGAACCTTCTCACGGCCCTGTTCCCCTGCTTAAACTGGGAAAAACAGTTGAGTGAAGTAACCCTTTGAGACAGGGCTGGACACACACACACACACTCTGACATTGGTTTGCAGTTAACTCAATTCCCAGGAAAAATGGCGATGGAACCGACAGGTGAAAGAGTCGGAGCACTTGAAGGTGTTTTAATAAAGGAGTTGTTCACTTGACTGCGGAAGCTAGTTACTGCATCCGCCCTTTACTGCAAGAACGGTAAGGTGCAAGGGTCCGAAGAACAGAACTGTTTAACAAATGCACTAGCACTTTACCAAAGCTAAGGAAACCTGTTTTGGGCGGTATCATGCGAACAACCACCATGGAAACAACAAAAGGCAAAGTGGAGTCACAGCGTGTGCAAAAGTTTTCATCCGCGCAGGTACAGAAGTTTGCGTCCAAACTTCCATCCAGTCGATTTCCCTAGCTTCGTTGGCGTGACTAGGAAATCGACCGTCACGCCCCCTGCGACTTAAAAGTTGAGAAAAAACAGAAACTCTTAGTTACAGAGGTGGACACACACAGAACGCCGATATCGGCGCTCTGGGGGAACTTACTAATCAATTAAAAAGCCTTAGAACGAAAGGAAAGAAATACAGAAAGGAAAACGCAAAGGAAAGAGATAAATATAGGTGTAGTGACAAGGCCCACTAGTTACACCTGCTAGTTACTGACTACTTAGCCGAATGAAATAAATGCAGTAGTTAGCGAGCGGGACATACGTCTTAAACCGCCCGGGTAGCTAGGAGTAGAAAAGGAGAAACAGAACGAAAGGTACCGACACACAAGTGTGTCGAGTACCATTTCCTTCTGTTACCCTAGATAGCGGGTGGGATAGAAACACGAATTTGGTTGCAAGGTGGGGAGGGGGTGGAAGTGCAAGTGTGGACAGTAGCTTCACTGGTCTCAATTCCTCACATGGAAATGCAGCACATGGAAATGCAAGTGGAGGTATTTCGTAAGCCCGACGGCATCAAATTCAGTAAATTCAGTAGTGAAACTAAAGCCGTTAAGAAAATCCAAAGAGAGGTGGAGAACGGTGGAGTCAGTTACACGATTTCCGGAATGAAAACAGCGCCTCCTTGCGGAGGATCACACCCAGCACCCAAGTGGGACGACTGAGCGAGTCACACTCTGACATTGGTTTGAAGTTAACTCAATTCCCAGGAAAAATGGCGATGGAACCGAAAGGTGAAAGAGTCGGAGCACTTGAAGGTGTTTTAACAAAGGAGTTGTTCACTTGACTGCGGAAGCTAGTTACTGCATTAGCCCTTTACTGCAAGAACGGTAAGGTGCAAGGGTCCGAAGAACGTTTAACAAACGCGCTAGCACTTTACCAAAGCTAAGGAAACCTGTTTTGGGGGATATCATGCGAACAACCACCATGGAAACAACAAAAGGAAAAGTGGAGTCACAGCGTGTGCAAAAGTTTTCATCCGCACAGGTACAGAAGGTTGCGTCCAAACTTCCATCCAGTCGATTTCACTAGCTTCGTTGGCGTGACTAGGAAATCGACCGTCACGCTCCCTGCGACTTAAAAGTTGAGAAAAACAAAAACTCTTAGTTACAGAGGTGGACACACACACTCTGACATTGGTTTTCAGTTAACTCAATTCCCAGGTCGAAAATGGTGAGGGAACGGCATGGTGAGAAAGTCAGTTCACTTGAAAGGTTGAACAAGCTGTTTGTGCGTGACTGCAGAGCTCAGCGGTGGTGAACGAGCGGCGCAACTCAGATGCAAAACCAAGGTTTCGGGGGTGGAAGCATGAAGGACCATGAATCAAACCGTGGAAGAGTAGGGGGTAACAGCTTGTGAGAGAACGAGCAGGTACGTCCAGCTGGCCAAGCTGGATATCCCATTTCACTGGTAGCTTCGTTGGACACAGTCCCAGTGAAATGCTGTGTCCCCCTGCTGAAGAAGCATTCAAAACAAAAAACAAGGTGGAACCCTTAGGTACAGGGTAGAAAAGAGTGAATACTTAGCCCTTGACTGGGGTAGGGAAACGAGTCTCAAGAGCAACCTAAAGGGCCTGAGAGAAAGCAAGAAACGACCAAAAGCGCAAGAAGGAAAGTGGGGGACGGGGCAGGGAGGTGTATGTACATGTTGTGTGTATGAATACTTAGCACTCTAGAGTTACTGACTACTTAGCAGAAGCGAATTACGTGCAGTAGTTAGGGAGCGGGACTTTAGTCTTAGACCGCCCGGGTAGAGAAGACTAGAAAAGGGACAACAGAGGGAAAGGCACCGACACACAAGTGTGCCGAGTACCATTTCCCTCTGTTACCCTAATTAGGTAGGGAGTAGAACTCGGTGGGGGGGGGTTGGGAGACCTGCCTCCAGTGGGTTGAGTTCCGTTTCTTAGCCCGGCGGCTATGGTATCCGTGAAAGCCCGGCGGCTTCTAATCCAGCTAATTCAGTATTGGAATGGACGTGGTGACAGGGATCCACGATGAAAAGACGATAATTCAGGAAAACGATTTCCGGTATGAAAACGGCGCCTCCTTGCGGAGGGTTGCACCCAGCACCCAAGTGGGACGGCTGAGCGGTTCACACTCTGACATTGGTTTTCAGTTAACTCAATTCCCAGGTCGAAAATGGTGAGGGAGCGGCATGGTGAGAAAGTCAGTTCACTTGAAAGGTTGAACAAGCTGTTTGTGCGTGACTGCAGAGCTCAGCGGTGGTGAACGAGCGGCACAACTCAGCTGCAAAACCAAGGTTTCGGGGGTGGAAGCATGAAGGACCATGAATCAAACCGTGGAAGAGTAGGGTAACAGCTTGTGAGAGAACGAGCAGGTACGTCCAGCTGGCCAAGCTGGATATCCCATTTCACTGGTAGCTTCGTTGGACACAGTCCCAGTGAAATGCTGTGTCCCCCTGCTGAAGAAGCATTCAAAACAACAAACAAGGTGGAACCCTTAGGTACAGGGGTTGACACACACACACACACACACCTGGGGTGATTCAAAATGAGACTTTGCGTCACTTCTCCGGTGAAAGTAGTCTGTGAAACCAGTCGTGGATTATCATGGGTTTATCACCTGTGTTTCTCACCCATGCGGCCCATGCGCCATGTCAAGCTCTTTAGTCCCCAACATGTCGGTTTGGTATGGTTTGGTTCTCACCCTTTGCAGCCCAAGCAGCAAGACACCCATGGTCCACATGTCCACGCCTCGAAATCAGTGGCCGGTGTCGTTTTTGCCCAAACATGTTGGGGCAGTGAGTTGGATCACGATCGAAAAGCTACCCAACTTAAAAAAGGAGAGGTGCACTGGGCAGGACTTCCCAGTGACTGCATCCGAACACCAAAAAAACACCCGACACGTGGTCGGCTTGAACATTCTTGGCTACATAGTCTACTGTATTCTTTTGAAACACCTCACATGAGGTCTCCCAGGGCTGGGATGTCTGAGCCCGTGACTCTCATCATGGCCAGTCCCCTTGATCATCTCCTCAGCACTCCGCTGGTCGCAGCTGATCACACGCATGTTGCCACGTGCTACATCACCGAACAAGTCCAAAACACACGCAGTGCATCAGTTTCCGGGGGTACATTCTCTGTCCTCATCTTATTGCTGGGCCCGCGCCCTCCTGTCCTGGCCCCTCCTCTTCAAGTGGCAGCATCTTGGAGATCACCCATGGTCCCACCGAGCACACACAAAAGGCATTGAATTTAGGAATAGCAATTTCTTTGAACATACGCAACCAGAACATAGGGCAAAGGACATGCATAGGCCACGTACCTGCTAGAGATCTGACAAGTGTTTTTCCCTAGGTCAGCTGAGCATCTGGAGCCAAGTAGTCCAAGGTGCCACAAAAGGTCACCCTCTTCTCCTGAGCGCTCCAGGAGTTGCTCTCATTTCATCTCATCAACCCTGCTTCCAAATTGGTGTTTACCTTCAAAAGTGGCAAGGGAACAAGAGCGAGTGCTTTCAGACGCAACCCAGTCACTACTTCAAATTCTTTGGGGTCAACGAAACCTGCTGTAAGAGAAAGGGCCAATAAAGGCACTTCGGCACTTAGTCGGATCACCGCAGCCTTTCCACTCGGATTGGTCACGCCATGTTCGACCACCGGTGACCACGCTTCGGCCGGTCGGCAGACCTCCGACTCGGGCCCATCGGAACGGTGTTCCACTGGTGCCCATTCTTCCCACCAAGAAAACCTGTAAACCACCGGGTAAAGGCGCAGCCTCTGTTTCAGAACACCTTCTACTAAGTGTTTCACTGGTTATACCAAGTGTCACTCATTCCAGTACGTTGACTCGACTGGAATAGGTTGGTCCATCTTGATTTTGTGGTTCCCTCTCTCAGACTCTCAATTGTCACTTCCAGTAGGAATCAATCCAAGTACAAAGTTGGATGAACCATCCCCCAACAACTATAATATAAAATAGCCTGTAACCATTCTCTACACAAATTCCCCACAAAGGCAATTAATTGACAAACTGAATCAGGTCAAAAATAAATTGCAGGCTGTAGGATGTCAGTCAAGCTCCTTCCACGTCTGCGGGAACAACACTTGCAAACCACATGACTAGACTAGACATGATATGTTTACATACACACATATATATAGATAGATTAATTTACAAATATAATATATATGTATATATTTATATATCATATATCTTTTTAGAGTACCAATTAACCTCTAAACACCAACTCTGAAACATGAATAACAGTGAATAACAGACTCGCAAATGCACACAGACCCTGTGTGGGTGTCTGTGCCACACGTGCCATCCCAGCCAGACCCTGTGGCCACACCTTTCGCACTGAGTGGCGGCTTCCAAAAGGTTGGCCCACCCGAAGTCTGCCAACTTCACCGAGTCGTCCGCCGTCTGGCAATGGTTCGTTGACGATCGGCGGGGAAAGGAATCCAAAATGCCTGGACCAACTTACATGGCTTGGTATTCTTTTGGTGTTGAGCATGGTTGTTGAGCTGACTGAGCTAGTCCAGAAGTAGGGACATCATTCTGCACCGTGAGATCCGACAGAATCAGAATCCATCCGGAGGACATACCGCAACCTTTCACACACTCTCAGTTAGCCTTCGCGAACGGGCGCGGCTTCGCGAGCGTTCGCCACACATAGTGTATCGAACAAATGCCTTCGCAAACAATTGGTGAGTCACAGTCCAATCTAAGTCTTTATCGTTCAATTAAGAACACTACTCAACTGTGAATATGTTTGGATGACCCAAGTAGATCTCTGAAAGTGTCAAGATTTAGACTGGAAAAAAAGTGTCATGACACATCATGACACCCTGTCTCTTAAGCTGAATCCGTTGGCAAAAATCAAATTGAAATCATTGTCATTGTAAATGGTTACAAAACATACGTGCGTGAACGGGGGCGATCACTTTCATCGACTCAACTCCTTCGTAATCATGACAGTCAAGCTCAAAAGTATCGATGGCCATGGCAAAACATGAATGCACTCTGAAATTGAGTATATAGTGAATGATGATGGTTAGTACAGGCCTTTCTCCAAAATCATGACAATCTTTTAGTAACTGCTCCACCCTACTCTGACTGAGTATGAAATTGGACACCAGGCGAGACCAACAACCGTGAGTCGGAGGGCATGGAAAGAAAAACGAACACCAAATCCTACTGCCATGTTATGCCATGTTGCCATCTGCCTCTCCAGCTTCCCACCGATCCACCACGACGCCCCCACCAGCAGGATGTTCTCGGGCTTGATGTCTCGGTGAATCACCTGAGGCCGGTGACCGGATGCGTCCGATGCGTCGGACATCGACATCATGGTGTATGGATATCATGAAGAGATCGAAGTCACATGTCTATATATATATATAGAGAGAGAGAACGCTCATGTTCTTACGCATGCAAAGCATGCAAATGCACTATGAGCATTTAAGAGCAACATATGTTCCTCTACTTGTATGAGACTGCATTTGTGTCACATTTTTGACGCAGTCTGTTGAAAGCAAAGCTAAATTATCCAGGGTAAACAATTGACAAACTCATGACCTGAATCTGCGCCGATCGATAGACATGAGCTTTAAGATATTTTAAGATAATCTGTATTTCTTCGCATGTCACTTATCCAGCATTCGAAAGTGCACAAGAATGAGGTTGCGCCATGAAGTCGTCACATCACAAAAGTGAAGGCGGCGCCGTGCGTCCGCCGAAGAAGGCGTCCGACTTCGTCCGACAGCGGAGAAATCGGTATCCTCATCCGCTGCACTTGTTCCTAGTAGCTTCTTGTTACTACTAGTAAGGCACTTGTTACTAGTAGCGATGCACTTGTCCCTAGTAGCTTCCTCTTCCTGAGAGTGGTCATTTCATGATATTTTCTGCTTCACCATTGTCCCATCTCTAAAACCAAAGGGTTCTCCCCACGCTTGCAGTTTGGGAGGGCAAATCATACGGCCGGATTGAACAATTCTTGTCACAACGATTCTTGACCCAGCCTTCTCGGGCAAGTGATGCAAATAATCCAGCGCCTCGCACCTCTTCGACCGGATGTTTGAGCGAGATTTTCAGAGTTCGAGTCCACGCGGTGAGAAAAAACATGGGTTTTTAGAAGTCTCCGAAGTCAGAGCTTAGTGTGTCTTTTATTTTCGGCATGTCCGTCTTGAATTTCTGGCATTGTGTCATAAGGATAAACATCTGAACTTTCAAGCATGTGTTGAATGTCTGAACTTTTTGTTTAAAGTGAGCAGCTGAGGGACTTGGAAAAATGCATGAAGAGGCCGAAAGCAAAAGGCTGACCTGCCAACCAGGGGCGTCCCAAAGAATCGACAGCAATTCTATGCGATTTTGCTGTTTTCTGTCAAAGGGAACCTTGTAGTTACTGTAATTACATGACTCATGAGTAACAAGTTCATGTCCACTATTAGTTCAGGTTGAAATCCGTGAACTCATTCGACTCCCGAGCTTCCTTCCTTGGCACTCTGGTCTGTACAGTAAGTCTTATTTGGACCCCTTACAAGCCCAAAACCCACATCTCTGTGTGCCTGGTACCTGGTACAGAGCTCACTTAACCAATGAAATGAAATCCAAAAATATGGCTGTAGGTCAACACCTACAGCCCCAGCCCTGGCCCGACTTTCCAGGCAGGTCAACCAAGGTAGAAGGTATCTGCTTCTGACCCACTTTGTCCAGAATACTGCAGGTTCTTCTCGCTGACTTGAATGATCATGCCAGCTAACAATTTGGGGCTACAAGCAGTTTACTCATACTTGTTCAGTGTTGCCCACACCCTGTGGGCATGTCAACAGTCTCTTTCTTAAGTCTTTCATCCAAGCATCGTCTCGTAGAAGTACCGCGCAGCGACTGGGCGGACGGTGTTGCGGCAAAAATGCTGGTCAACTGGGATGATCATCCCAAAAACATGTGAGCCAGTGCCAGAACCTCTGGGCACAATACCGACTTCTTTTTTGTATTTAGGTATCGCATGGTATCGCTTTGGGATGTTGCTCACGTTCTATCCAAAACGATCTAAGAACCTGCTTGTCGGAGAGTCCAAAAACACAAGCACCACCAAACATCCTCTTCCAATCCCACTGCTGCATCAAATTCACATCGCTTCACACTCCAAAAAGCCACATTGATTTCATGCTGACTGGGAATGAAGCCCATAGAGATTGGGAATGAAGCCCGCGGAGACTGGGAATGAAGCCCGGTGATCCTCCCTCTAAGAAACATGGAAGTGAACATCGAAGTGAACGAAAAACGCTACCCGCTACGCGGCACGCCTGGAGCATCAAAACGCTCTGCTTTCTGCAGCTTGTCGAAAAGGCTACCGCCTCGCCGGGAAAGAAGGATGTCGCGGACAAAACAGCACTGAGGGGAGTTAGGTCTTTGGAAAAACCATGGGGCAAACATAAAAGGCAATGATGAGAATGTGTACTGTGTATACATTACACATTAAATACAAACAGTATTTTAATGTCATGTGTTGCGTAATGTGAAAGTGGTCTACACGTTTTGGAACAACAGGATGGACACACCACCAACCCTTGCTCAATATGTTTGCCCTGTCGGTGAAAAACACCGCCTGTGCACCCGAGCCAAAACGAACCCCGAAACGCCCCAGACATGCCGACCACGTGGTGCTCGATACATCTGTCACAAGGAGCATCCAAAAGCGATACTGTGCAAGCAGCGACCTGCATCGAATTACAAAGCTTCAAACACTCTGAAATAGGTTACGCATCTTTTGGGCTGCAACCATGGTTGCATCTATAAGTTGTCACAACAAACAAGAAACATGAACGCACCTGAGACCTCAGGGCCCCCTTCTCAGTTTTCTTTGGAAACATTGGCCCTTTTCGCATGCTTGCTTGTGATAAGGCAGCCCCATCCAACACGTACAGTTGGCTTGGCAGCCCTGACCCCGCCTTGACAGAATTCCATGCCCAAATACCTTGTCTTCGTATCGCGTGTTCCGGCACAAGACTAGGGGATATATTGTTTTCTGTTGATTCATGTACACATATCCTATATAATTAAAAAACAAAGTATATGGGTGTATTAAAATAGGGGGACCTCCCAAGGACCCCCTGGAAGCAGGGAAATAGACTAAAACCCATTGGGCCAGGGGAAATACACACCCATATGTTTGTGCCTGAAGGGATTCCAGCAGAAGGCCTGGCCTATCAAACAAACATAGGAACACCAGGGCGTGGGATTACCAGGTGGGTTTGTGCAGTAGTGACCTGAACCACTTGATTTTTGTTACTCTTTGAAATCTAGGAGATTGTGGTAGGATTCAATCAAATTTGGGTGACCGCAATTATATAATTGATACCTTTATTGAGCTTGTATTTTATCCACGGGGCTATAGGGTTACCAACTTTACCGTGTCTTTTTGCTTGGCACAGTTACATGCTGAGAAGGTTTAACATATAGATTATATCATTAATTATATATATATCTGGCAATGGAGTCCGCAGGGCCTTTTGAATTACACTGTTCCACCAGAAACAGGTGGCTTATGACTTATGACCACCGAAACCCATATATGACCGCGGCGGCGCAGCCTGAATGAAAGGGACCAGGGAGGGCCATTTACAAGATTGATTGTGGCCATCAACAAAATAAACGGGTGGTGTTTGACACTTGAACACCCAAGGTTTGCACATGGAATCCAGCACTTAGAAATCATGTTTTAGCACGGTTAGGTCCAAATGAATGCACATCGTAGCTCTTACTGTCGAACATAGACGCATGGCTCAAAAGCAGGGACCATGGGAGACAACGGTGGTGACCATGCCAATAGCGCGTTTCGTGGACGCAACAATGGCCTAAAGGGAGGCCCGGAGGTTCTTCTGAATTGCCGCGGCGCAATGGCGAAGCTCGTCGCAGCCACCGCGCGGCTAAATGAGGCGCTCCAGGCACCCGGAGTAGTGAGCATTGGTCAACGCATCCCTGGAGGTGAAGGAGAACAACTCAGAGATCGACTTCCGCCGAGGGTGTGGAGACGCGTCAAGCTGTCCCCTTCCTTGAGATGAATCTCTGACAGCCCCGGTGCGGCGGTCCAACCGTTTGGCTGCTTTCGACGTGTTCAGCGCCTTCCCCATGGCACCGGACGTGTGCTTCACCTTCAATGCATCCCAAATCCCATCAGCCTTGGGCCTTGGCCATATACCCAAAAGCACAACGTTCGATTGGTGGCCCAGCACTCCAAGCAGCAAGCTGGCTGGCGCGAGGGTCGGGTCTCCCACCTTGGCTGATGACTCGATGTGCCTCCGAGCCAGGCAGCCCGATGATGCAGTTGACCGTGTTTGTAGAGAGCCATGACGCTACATCACGAGCATTGCCAGCAGCGGGCAGGGCTGCTCCTCTCTCTTGAAGTCTAGCAGCAAATCAGCCAAAATGGCATCACCTCTGTCAAGCAGCTGAGTCAAAAGGTCACACAGCTGGGTCAGAAGGTCGCCTGGATGGGGCTTTTCTAATGAACTCTTGAACTGCCATCGACAGCGAATGCGGATGGATCTTGGTCGATCTGATAATTACCCACCCTCATCTTGGTCGATGAGATCTCCGTCTGTGTATGACACGGGTGCATCCTCTGTGATTCTGTGGCTGAGTCTTCAGCAGTGATGAGAGGGGCAGCCTTCGATCCAGTTGATTCTGTGTTTCCCCACGAGGAGGAATCCCACTGCGCTAGACCCGCCAAGTCTATATAGCAAGCCAGGTCTAGACATGATGGAGCTGAAACAGGCTGAAAAAAATAACTTAATATTGATTTAGTTCTAATAGCTTCTTGTTACTACTAGCAAGGCACCTGTTACTACTAGCGATGCACTTGTTACTAGTAGTAACAAGAAGCTACATACATTATTACTCTGCCTGCAGCCAGGGCCGTTCACCCACCTCCGACCCAACTGTTAAGGCCAGTGCATGAAATGCCGGTCTTCGAAATGGAAGAACAGCCTACGCGCGCAGCTGTGCGCAGCTGCTGAGAGCTGTGCTTTTGTGGCTAAAGGTGGAGATCTTGATTTCCAATGAAGGGCCGTTTGCTAGGCAGCTATGCGCTCTGAGGTCACTAGCTTTGATATCCTTGCCATTCAGAAATCCATTCTCGCAAGCCCGAGTTGTCTCTTTTTGAGAAAACACTACATGCTACGAAGTGGGATGAGAGCAAACATAAGCAAACAATTAATTCCAGGATATACCATGTAAATACAGAGTTTCACTAATTGGGACGTGCTGACCTGACTTGATTGATGCATGGTTGGTCATTGCTGAACAAACGTCCTGAATAATTAATCCATTCCCTACAAAACGGGAAATGGATGACTCAATTGAGGGTCGAGATTACTCTCCTCAAGACCAACACAGCACCCAAGTGGCTAAGTAGTTTGTTTGCCAGTACCATGAGTATCTCAATTCACTATTGAATTAGATTAATTGTTTTCTTTCAACTTTCAATGCACCATATTAAGTTGCACCTACTGCAACCCTCAAGATCCTCAAGTGCATCTGTTGCAATCTTTTGCATCGTGTCTTTTTGCAAGGGAAGCAAAGCGGTTGCAGGGAGGTGGCTTGGATCCTCTTCTTGCTTTGAAAAAGGAATGTTACAGTAATTATCTTCCAAACAAGAAGCCAAACAACTCCTGTGCGCTGCTCTGTCCGCTGGTCATCATTCGACCTCGTCTTTTCGCCGACAGCGGCGTGCGCCCCCGATCCGCCCTCACCAGATCCGCCCGATCCGCCCGGGAGTGTTTGGCCTCACGATGCGTTCGTGCTGCATGGAGCTAAGGATCAAAATCTCTCCTCAGCGGAGAGCGGTGAGATGCGGTGAGACATGAGAGGCCGTTGGAAACGAAGAGTAGTGAAAAGGAATGTGCAATGAGGCCATGTTCCATCCTTAGGAACTGGAGCTTCTATGAGCAGCCAAAGCCGAAGCAAAACTCTTCAGGCAGCTGAAGGTAACAGCTAAAAAGGTACTAAGAATGCCCGGGGCTTTGGTCTTTCAGGTCGAGACGATATACCTTGTGCCACACGTCACAAGTCGCTGAAGATGCCGGGAGGCTGAACCAAGTCCGAGGACACGGAATTGAGACCTACAACTTATAACTACAGTAAACTCAGTCTACTTAAATAGTAATTAATAACTGCAGTAACAAGGTTCATTTTATGTGTTTACGTAACAAGTCTATTTGATTGTACTTATAAATAGGCCAAAACAAAGTCGCTCATCCTTCATGTTGATAGGGTCATCCGATTGTCTTGTCACGGCCTCACATGAAGCCATTATTGGAAATAATGATACTGTATGGACATCACATGAATCGACACATGAATAAAATATAATATACTATACATACACATCATCCATGAGATCAATAAGCATTAATGTGTCTACCACCCTGCAGAATTCCTCTTCCTCTACAAGACCTTGACCAACTTGACCGTGGAATTCTCCGAGATTCTCTTCAGCTGATCCATCAAGTGGTTCTCCAAGATCAGCTGCATCCGCACCTTTGTCGCCCGCCCGACGAGGCATACAGGCATACACCCGTGCATGTGCACCAAATGCCCCGAAACGATGGGGGTGCATGATCATTCTGCGACCACTCTCAACTCATCATTTGGAATTCAGGTAGAGACATTTGATAAACAAATGTGGACAGCCTCAATCCATCGTGCTCCCGGGACTGCCCAGTTCTTGAACCCAATCAAAAAGCCAAGCTAGGAAGGTTTCAGCATGCTTCACTACATATGCCTGAGAAACAAAATCTGTGATTCTACTCGATATGAACATGTATGAAATATGTCCGTTTCAACGCATGAGATGGAATCTTTACGGTCTTTAGGTCTATACCCACTTGTATTAGTTGTTCAACACAATGACTTCAAACAACATTTCAACACAATCACTTCAAACAACAAGTCATCTGAACCAGTACGGATAAACATACACATGTGTTATCACTTTCTGCAAGAGTAGTCTGGACAAAACTTGCAAACATGCACACGACCAGTGATCCTAGCCATCCGAAACAGATCCGAACATTGAGCAAGCCATTTGTATCCTGAAACGGAACGGATCCGACTCAACGAACGGTTTCCCTCGAAAAACCACTGAACCCAAAAACAAAAGCCTGGAAGTCCCAGATTCAACAAAATGGCCTTGAAATCACGCGACCATCTCGTCTTTGGAAAGAGGCCTTCGACATCTCGTCTTTGGACTTTCCTTTTTCCGTGAGACCACCGACATCAGCTCCCAATACTCGGTGCCTTTTTCACGGCCACCAGCTGACGGTCCTTCTTCAGCTGGGCTCGCCAGACCTGTCAAGCTCCGTCGTGGGGAGAGCGATGGGACATTACAAATACGGATGTTGATGGATAGAGGACTCGAATTAACTTCGAATTATGTGTTTTTAGCAATCAAGAATTGCAAAAGGCCAGCTTAATATGTTTTTTGTTGTTTCTCTAGAATGATTTAATATGATTTATGTCTCAGTTGAGTCTATTGGACAATTGTTGGGAGGGATGCTTATCACTCCTTTCGCGTTTTTGCTTCTCACGTGATTCTTCAGGGCTTTCTGTTGAGCTCCCTGCTGCTCACTGTTTGTGTCACTTGACGTCTCCCAGGTCGAGGTTGTTGACGGAAAGGATCATGAACGATTTTGCACGTAGTCAGTATCTGAACATATCTGATGAACATGTCATGTAGTAGAATGTCCCAATATACTGTATGAAAGGTCACATTTACCAATTCTGCAGATATCGAGATAAACAATTAGAATAATCCAAAGTCAGCGAATACTGGTCATTGTATGTCATTGTCATGTTTAGTCTCTATCTGGTCGTAGTGTTGCACAGTCAAACAGACCAAGCTTCAGCCTCTCCGAAGTAACCACGGCCCAGGCATTTCTCGAACTGCAGGTCCTATGAATCGCTACCAGAGAGTGGGGTGCGTCGGATGTCGGGTGCGAAGGTTGTGAAAGCCATGATGTCCAAATGAGGCACTCTCTCCTTTCATGATGTTACTCCCTGAATCCTCCTCTTGTCAACTGTCTGGAAAAGCGTATATACACGAAGATTCTTCTCACGTTGGCAGTCAAGCATATTCCGACAGGGTGAAAGCCAAGCTCACTGAAAGGAACCCGTACCTACACACCCATTTAACTAACGCAAGTGAAATAAACATCTTCGCAGCTGATGTACTATTCCCCCTGAATTTGATCTGATCTTTACATCAATACATCCTTTAGACCACCAAGGAGCATCGGGAGTGTAGGTGGGAGTGTGGTGGGAGTATAGAGTTTGACTAAGTGGCCCCCGCTCCCTGCCCAATCATTGGAATGTGGCCAGAACTAGCTTAAAATATGGTCCCCTTAGAGGTGGCAGCTCTATGTGCTGGTGGACTTACAAAAAATAACATAACATTTTGCAAAATTTGCCAGTTACAATGGAGTAAGAGGTTTCTTGGGGGTTGTCCACCAAACTTGCGGCGAAAAATCAGCCTAGAAGAGGCCTTAGTTCAGTCGAACAAATACTTGCTCGAACCAAGTTCTCCCAGCACCTACTCATCTCAAATGGTTCTATAGAAACATATAGAGCCAGAAATGTCAAAACGGAGTGCAAGTGACAAGGGCAGTCATCCCATTTTTTGGCCTTTAAACACATGAATCCTCACAACTGGTTAAGCTGTGCTCCAAGGTGGGTCAACATATGCCCCGGTCACTGAAAGAGATATAGTGAAGCAATAGATTGCAGGCAGGCAGTGATGGTAAACCAAACGACTGGTCAATGTATTGTTTGCCGATCTGCATACGTATTACTACCACTGGTCAACATGTTTGGATCATTACTACCACTGTATAACTTGCATGTGTATTACTACCACTGTATGTTTTGCATCATGTTGTTGTTCCCAATCTTCTTACAGTAATTCACGTGACGTGACGCCGACTCCAGCACTTCCCACCCCCCAAACGAAGAAGCGACTCGTCTCCTCGACTTCTTTGGCGCTGGGGGTGGCCATTGCTTCGGCAAAAAACGATGGTAACGGGGCTCCCTGTCCTAGGCTGCCAAGTTCATTCTGTCAGTAGTAAGATGTAGTAAAGCTGTAAAAATACATGTTGAAACTAACACATGCCTGTGATTGTTGGTGGTTTGGTCTCTCTCACGGGACTTGCTGGCAACGGTCCACTCAGGGCAGGCTACAAATACGTTCTTGTAATTTGGTTTGTGGACCAGTCACTGGTTCATGTTCATGTCGCATGGCGCTCAGTCCCATTCCTTGACGTGAAGGACATTCAAGGAATTCATGCGATGTTTTTGCGAACGTATTTCATGATGCCCAGTGGGTGCTATCCAGTTTCAATTGGCTTGAGACGGTGCGCGGAGGCTTTGCTGGCTGGGATTTTACAGTCTGGTGCTTGGCTCTGTGTATGTCCAGCCTGCAAATGTCAAGTAAGGTTCAGTTTGGGGTGTCTCGGTTAAAATCAGTTTGACAGAAACTGTTTCTATTTTTTGTTTACTTTACCACATAAAGGGCTAGGAGGTGTGACATCCAAAACATATAATCTAACTAATATATAGCTTTAACATTCTAGTCAGCTACTACGGCTTCTATAGGTAAGTTTAATCATACATAGATAAACCCTTCCACCACCTCCAATGGACCCACCTGCATGAACCCGAAAAAAAAACACGCAATTTCACCTAATTGAGCAATACCCCATCCACCACCGCCACTCCATGACTGTCGCTCAGAGTTTGGGTGTCGCCCACCAGGAGGAAAAGCCGCCCTTGCATCACCCATGGCGGAGCCGCCGATCCGAGCCGAGCGGTGCGGGGAGAATCCTCGGTGTTCGTTGAATGTTTCCTCTATCAGGTGTCGCCAATGTGGCATCCTGTTTTTTTTTTTCATGGCTGGCCTACCATTATATAACTTGGTGGTGACAAATGAAATGAAACGCGCAGTTCCTCACACAACATCTATGTATATCGTATATTAATATATATATATATCCCTTTACAAACAAACACAGTTCCTTTCAATACGTATTTCGTCTCTGTGAGCAACTCCAGGTTTTGGTATCTTGAACTATAGTTGGGTGCTGGATAAATCTCGAACATGCGACAAACCTATGCGAAAACAACTGGAACAAAAAACAATATCTGTTCGCAATGAACTGAGAAGTTCAACACCTTAAACAGTCAAAAACAAACTCGGCCTGTGCATGTTGATTGTACTCTTCAACCTTGTTTGAACCGGCATCAAAGGCTCAAGAAGCAGCGATTCATTCATGTTTCCAGCACACAGGGTGAAACACATCAATCACGGTATCAGAAACTCCTTCAAAGCGCTATGAATCACCTGTGGAATCCAATCCACATGTTAGTGTTCGGGTCAAAATCAACTTAGCCAGTTTCAAGAAAGGTGCACCTGATCGAATTGATTCAAACAGGAACTTGACAAACACATCTAAGGAGCATGGTGACAAGTTGATTGAGGGATTCCCGCCCAGTGACTCCCAAATGTCTGGAGAATATACAAGACCTTTGAGGGCTTTGCTCACAAACTTTAGACTTCTGAGGGGGTGGTCGTACACACCAGAGTCCAATGTGAACAGCCTCTGGTCGGCCCCCACCGGTCGGACAGGAGTGACGGAGTGACCTGCCCTTCCAAGGCTGCTCTCAACCTCGGAACAAGTCACCAAGCTTGTTATGCTGTCTGAAAGGATCTATAGCAATATTTTAATATTATCATGTTCTATCAACAGAATGGATGTGTCTGCCGCGTGGTGTTCTGCGATCACATTTTAGGAGCAAACACCGCTTGTTTTCCGCAACTTGGACCTTTCAAGGAAAAACGTAGTATGTAGTGGGAGAGTGAGAGTGAGAGTGAGAGTGAGTGTGAGAGTGAGTGAGTGTGAGAGTGAGTGAGTGTGAGAGTGAGTGAGTGTGAGAGTGAGTGAGTGTGAGAGTGAGTGAGTGTGAGAGTGAGTGAGTG